TCTAGCTTTTTGTGGACTGTTTTTGGTGGTTGGTGTCTGTAGAAAATGGCAGGTGGTGACATTTTGCATTTTCATTTCACATTATTCCTTTTTCAAGACACTTCAGGAATGAGTTTGGAATCATTGTCCTTGTTTGCTTCTTATACATTACTTCAACATATGACCATGAAAAAAGGTATCACACAGATTTCGCTTGTTTCATTCTGTTTTTTGTTTTGTTTTGTGTGATATATTACTGTATGGGAGCACTACTTTCTCTAATCATATAAAATAGAGTGACATACATACCCATATTGGACATTTGCTTTCGACTTTCATAATTATGATTTATGCCTACCTACTCTAATATGTATACAACTGGTTTGCATTATGTTGAAACCCGAAAGAGCCTGTTACAGTCTTTAAGTCTGAAGTCATGCATCAATGTCTACCATATCTGGTTCAAGTTCAAGTGTCTGGCCCGAATTTCCATTTCTAGCTCGGTTTTCATGTCACTATCAGAAATAAGTGGGCCTTTTTGGGCATAACTGGGCCTTTTAAGGCCTTAATTTTTCATTTTAGGCCAGATTTTGAAGATTGAATTTTCAAAATTTAAAAAAAAATTCCTATCAGACCTGAAGATTGGGCCCCCCTTGTTGGTTCCAAGATCCGTCCCCTGGGTAGTCTCCAACTTTTTTATGGATGGTGTTCGGCAGTTGGTGTTTAGTGGTTGGTATTCAGTGGATGTTGTTCGCTGTCTGTAACAAATAGTAGGTGGTGACATTTTGCGCTTTAATGCATATTTTTGAAAATTGGGCCTGATTTTTGTAATGGGCCATATGGACACTCTATATTTGAAGGATGGATTCCCCCTCCCCCATTAGTCTTGATTAATATGAGCAGGTAGTAAATTGTAACTCAATGATAAGCCCCTTTACAGGTATAAAATGCACATTCTGATCTCTTGAAAGGCCACGATATAATAAATCAAGAATTAATCACTAATTCAAACAATGTAGTCCCTGTAGTTGAATACAATCACGAAAATGTACATTATTCACATTTAGTGAGAGTGTTACTGAGCATTACTGAGGATGATTTGTATCATATGGTATGTCATTTTTCATATGTCACTTTGACATGACACAAAGCAAAACACCTACCATATTCTCTCTTATGAGCACACTGTGTGCTTCACAAATTGAAGATTTTTTTAATATTGAGAGAATTAAAAAGGTCAAAAAATGGAAACCCTGTTGCCATTTTCCTATTACCTTAGTCATTTTAATAAATTACTTCCTGATATTTAGCACACTTGTGCATCATTCAATTTCCTACCGGCCTACCATATTTCATGACCATCAAATTGATAGTCACAATATTACAGCACTTTAAACAACATGCTCCAGTGGCCAATATTGCACTTTCGGCAAACCTTCCGGAAGGAAATTGAATGTTGTACATATGTGCCAATTTTCAGGGAATAATTACCCAAAATGACAAAGATATGAGGAAAATGCAGGGTTTCCATTTTTTTGACCACCCTGTACAAAAAAATTAGAAAAAAAACTGAGGATGATTTGTATGATTGTACAGTGTATGTCACTTTTTCATGTGTCACTTTGACATGATACAAAACTCCATACCATATTCTTTCTTATGAGCGCACTGTGCACTTCCCAAATTGAAATTTTAATGGGTAAGATATTGAGATAAGTGCACATACAAAAAATTTAGAGAAAAAACAGGATGATTTGTTTCATTGTACAGTGTATGTCATTTTTATTTAATGTACAATATTCACATTTTAGTGAGACTGTTGTTAACAGAGCATTACTGAGGATAATTTGTCTCATATGGTATGTCATTTTTTCATTTGTCGCTTCGACATGACACAAATATTGCTCCTACCATATTCTTTCATATTAGCGCACTGTGCACTTCCCAAATTGAAATTTAAATGGGTAAGATATTGAGAGATTCCAATAAGTGCACATACAAAAAATTTAGAGAAAAAACTGAGGATGATTTGTATCATTGTACAGCATATATCACCTTTTCATGTGTCATTTTGACATGACACAAAACAATAAACCTACCTTATCTTTCTCATGAGTGCACTGTGCGCTTCCTAAATTGAAAAAATTAAAATGGGTAAGATATTGAGAGATTCAAATGAACGCACATACAAAAATTGAGATCTTTTTAGTAGTTTCACTTTAAGGCAATACATACTCTACAGCTTCTTTTTTCTATTTCTGCATTGAATATAATCATCAACAGAAATCTTGTGCAAATAATCAAAATTGATACATTAAACTTCGTGTTTTCTGGAGTCCATATTCATCATTAAAATCACATGTGCGCTCATTAGAGAGAATATGGTATGTGAATAGTGTGTCTATAAAATGATGTAAAAGGTTCATACGTTTTATTTTCATGACTCAATCTAATTGTGACTGTAAATCAGACCAGAAATATTTCTTTAATATTTTTTTTCAATTGTTGCTCCTTGTTTTTGGTCTTTTATTTATCGGATAATTAAAATCCTTAAAATGTTAAAAAATATTTGTTGTGAAATGTTATATGTAAGTTCACACCAATTCTTTATTTATATCCTTATATGGGTACCTGCTTATGACTGGAAACATCCAATTGACCACTATTAAAATAAAAATATCAAGGGGTTTGATGGTATTTTTAATGCTTGCAATCTTTCATGCATGTGTACTTTTTTCCTTGCAAATTGCACTCTTTTTGATATACTTTGCTTTTGACAACATGCCCATCAGACAAGTTTCTAATTGTTGACTTTCTAGGAATGTTCTCAAGGTTCTAGAGTGACAACAGGCCTATATGCCCCATGATGTCATCAGAGACGTAAATCTTGTCTGGTTAACTGGTTAAGGGCTGTCTGAAACTGGATATAATATTCGAAAACTCATTTCCCTCACCTGTTTATCAATGAATCAGCTTGCCAACATCCTGGTCTGCAGAGGGAGGGGGTCCATTGCAATAAAAATATGGTTTAAGGTTCCTATCATACAATTAGTGGAACACTTTTGGTGCCTCAAGAAATGTTCCACTCGGGAGGTGTTCCATATACATGTACTGAGGTATATTTCAATAAAGTCAGCTTGTCATGGGATTTTGAAAAGTGTTCCACTCATGAATGTGTTCCACTTACAGAGATGTTCCACTTATAGAGGTGTTCCACTTACAAAGATGTTCCACTTACAGAGGTGTTCCACCTACAGAGATGTTCCACTTTACAGGTTTTACTGTTAATTTACATTTATTCACTTGTCTTGACCTTTTAAATGAAAGGTCATAATCCATTTGAGATCATAAAGATCTTTTCATCCAATGCATCAAAACCATATATCATTTTTTTAATAAAATGGTCATAGTGTACCACATGAAGTGTAAAATTATAGTTCTCCCATTTTTGAGTTATAACTTACTGCAAAGAGTATAAAGGCATAAGGGAAATTGTTGTTACTAGGCTCCTATAAAACCCAATTGAAAGGGGTTGGGGCAGTATTCTTTTTTTTGGGGGTCGTAATATTTACACTTTCAAATATAACTTCTCTTAAAAAATTACCTTTTACCTTGATTTTATCTAGTTTGTAGTGATGAACTTTTAAAGGTGAATGGCCTAAAATAAATATGACACCTAGCTACATCACCAGTCTATGTCATATCCTCCATTTCTGTATCCTGGAGATTTGTTTACACTTCCCTCATGTGACATATTATTCACCGACACGCTTATTAATGACGTTGTTGCTATGAATGCCTAAATAAGGATACCACAACCTACTTTAAATTAATTGGTTAAAATAAGGTATTATCACATTCATCATTTAATTTTATTAATTCAATTGAAATTAATTCAAATTGAATTAAATTGAATATCTTGATGTGGGTCATTTTCCACTATTTGGGCATCTAAATTTAATATTCATTTCAGGTGCCATATTTTAACAAGACAGTAACATTCAAAATGTTACCAAATGCCATTTATTTACAGATGCCGAACACCAAACATCAAACACCAGCCGCAAATATGTGTTTGATAATTTTGAATACAAATAGATCAAGCCCTCATAGCCTTTCTCAACAGTTCGATTATGCTTATTTACTTATTTACTAGGCAATGACTCTCATGGTAGCCCACTTGGACTTATTAACCAGTTGAATGTTGAAATACATAAAGTTTCAATTTAAATTTCTCACGATGTCAACTTTGATTGAGATCTTCCTTAATAATTAATAACTGTCCACTCAACGGAATTGCAAAATGTCCTTTATATACAATAGTGCACAATAATGAGGAAATAATTTAGGAAAAATATACTGTATGAAGGGATGAACCATAGGGCATAGAGGGTATAATATGGTTAAAACGAACAGATGTATCTAGTAGTGCTTGGCTTATGAATTACTCACAGAAAAGATATGATAGGCAAATATATTTTATGGCGAAGTGTTAATGTTTCAGAAAAAGTATGATAGGCAAATATATATTTATGGCCTAAAAGCTCGGAAAATTTTTTTGGGCTCATAAAACCAAAAATTGGGCCCAAATTATGGAAAAGCCCATTTTTTGATAATTTGGCTTAAAAAGGCCAAGTTACCCTTAAAGTGGCTCATTTTTTGAGGCTCTACAAAATTTTGGGGTAACTTTTGAAAATTAAACTCAAAAGGCCCATTTTAGACACACAATGAATAAAATATTGGGTCTCCTGGCCCTCTTCAGTTACACCAACACAAGTTCTATTGGATGACCCTCAAAGGAAGAAGCTTTGTCTTTTTCCCATAGATATCACATTGCATCTTCTTCCCATATGTTCTCTCCATCAATTCTCTCCAGGCAGAGTTCGTCTTCCACTTTCAGCCCGAATGAAGAGTAAGCGAGATGATTGATGCATGTGGAGAATGGTTCTCGCCTATATAAACAATAAACAATGTTGAACTTGGCCACAAATTGACATTGGAATTCGGTATTGTGGATAGAATAACAGTCTGACAACATTTCTGTGACGTGACAGTGACAACCGTTACAAGAGTAAACAGTACCAGTTTCAATTGGATATGAAGTTTGTTGCTTTGAAGTGATGTGGTGTATAAGTTTTCTCGATTGTTCTAAAGCTATTGACTTGCTATAAAAAGGACTTACTGTTTAAAGGGAATCAGTTTCCAAGAAGCGGAGCAAGCATTTAAGTTCATGAACAGTGGAATTTTTAAATTAAAACTAAAAGTGTAGAATTTAACTCTGCCAGGGAATATAATTGTTTGGACATAATGAATATACTTGTATTCTTAACACTGACAATTATCGGGGCATCCCTTGCTGAAGGGGCCTGCCCAATAAGGGGCTGCACATGCTCGACGTCAGGGGACATCATGTGCGGTGGGGCAAACTTGAGGCGTATCCCAGCGATTGCGCCACCAAGACCAAACCAACTTAGACAGACATATGGGGAGCTTCAGTTGGGTCGTAATAACATTCGTGAAATCCCAGCAAGAGCATTTGAAAATTTAAAAGTGAAGCATTTAGCTTTGTGGCATAATCCAATAGGGGACAGTATCGCACCCCAGAGCTTAATGGGACTCGATAACACTCTGCTCACCATCGATATGTGGGATTGTGATCTGGAAAATCTGCCATTGGGACTATTTAATCATTTGAAAAAATTGCGCAAGATTGAACTAGGGTCGAATAAAATTTCGCAACTCACTGAAGGATTCTTCGAAGGTGCCAAAGATCTCTGGTCAATCAGCCTAAAGAAGAACAAAATTCAACAAGTCGCTAGAGACTGGTTTCGTGGACTTTCTAAACTGGCTGAAATTGACTTTCAAAATAATGAAATTGCAGGAATTGCTATTGGTGCATTCGATGGCCTGACAAAATTGAGGCGATTGCACCTCGATGGTAATAAATTGACGACAATCGTCCCAGGAATGATGAGTGGGCTCGGGAACCTCCAGGAGCTCTACCTTCAAAAGAACCCGTTGCAGTCCATTGCAGATGACTCCTTCAGTCACGCTTCAAATCTGAAAAAACTCAACATGGCTGAAACAGGAATCGGTCGATTGAGGGCCAAGATGTTCAATGGACTTGGTCAATTACAGCATCTTTCTCTCGGACATAACAACTTGAGCTTTGTTCCTCCAGGATTATATAAAATGTTGTCATCGTTAAAACACCTCGATTTGGACCACAATAAACTATCTAACATTGGAAGTGGATGCGCCGTGAGACGGTTAGAATTTTCACCACCAGGAGAGAATTCCGCACCAGGGTACAATGAGTTCATCATGAATATCGCAGCAAACCCAATAGACTGTACATGCTATATGGAGTGGGTTAACGAGTTTATTGACTTTGGGGGTGAGATTACTGGACTGTGTAAAACTCCAAGTAACTTGGCAGGTTCTACAGTTGGTAGCGCTGATATGTTTAACGAGTGCCCAACACCAATGTGTATGTCATGATTTATGTACAGTGTATGTAAAAACAGGAAACTTCCTTTGGCTTTAGATTTATAACTTGGAATTAGATTTTCCTGTATGGTGAATCAGATTTGTACATCCTTAACATCACATTGTGGTTATGCATCATCATGATGTGATTTGTCATCATCATATGAGTTTTCATCATCATTTTCATGTTAACCATCGTCATTCAACTTTTCATTCCTTACCTTGTACAGGTTAGTCTTTGAAAATATGGAAAATAGCCTTAGTTGCTCATGAAATGAACATAAAATTGACCCATTTTACTGGTTTATGCCGTGTGGACAATCTTCAAGCCATGGACATGGATCAGAAGTGTCACCCATGTATAGATGAAAAGTTTATAAAATCGAACATAATATCTAATTTGAATATTAGTTGAAAATTTCAAAGTATATGATGTATTGTTATAGTACTCAAAGTCTTCAATTCTGCAAAAATTATGTTATGTGAGAGACTTTAAGACCAGAATGGCTATTAATTTTTGGGTAGCAATTTTTGAATACTATAAGAGTACATACATGTATATAATATATTAATACAGCCTTACCAAAGTTAACTTAACTTGACACAACTGTGAATTATTGTGTCCGACAAAAAAAGTTTTGGAATGTTTTACATTTTAATAGTGAAATGAGTGAAGTTAGTTCAGTATGGCTTAACAAATACTCACACACATTTGAAAAATATATTTGTCTAGTACATTCGAAATGTACAAAAATATATCTAATTCATTGCTGTTCATTCATCAATGTATATAATATTGTAAATACATGTAAAGTAGTAAACAGTGGTCTTGGTTGAAAATGCATTTCAGATTCATTGCATTTCAATTTGTTGCATTTGATAAAAAAACAGAGATAATTGGTTTACTTTGAACGTGAGGCTTTAACAACAGAATGCAAATACTTAAAGAAGTACACAATGTTACTGTGATAGAAGGAATTGTAAATTCTTGTTTTTAGTGAATAATTTCTGATTGAAGAAGTTATTCTTCAAAGAACAGAATTTGTTAGATGTGCATAAAATGTAATGTTACCGGTGCTGTATATTAAAAAAAACATAAAAATAAAAAAATTTAAAATGCAAATAACTTTGTTTTGCTTTTAAATGTATATCTAAATCAGGGTGAATATTATCTTGAACGTCCACTTTCATACTTGAACAACTTGGTTGACCTTTCCAATAAACCCTGCCACCTTTTTTTACATCAAAGAAGCTAGGATATATTGCCTCGATTGATCATTGGCTGTAGGTCTTAATTTGTTCAATCAAAAATAGGATAGACTTAGACCAACTGTGCTAACTTCACCATCTGGCCAAATTTATCATAGTTTCTTTGATCTACCAAAAGGTGGCAGGATTTATTGGAAAGGTATTTTGGTTGTAAGGAGTACAATTTCAACCTACATATTTATTCCACATCAAAACATGCCCGTAAATAAATATACATAGTACAGATTTTTATGTGTTTGCTGGTTATGGAGTTAACACAATTTAAGCTTTTCAGAGTGAAATTACGACAATGAAGAACGACAATCCAAATGACGTCAATCTCTCGATTCCAAAACGAAATAACATCATATAGCGTAAACTAGTTACTTGAATCCATTTCAAAAAACAACAAGACATCAAAATATAATTTTATTCATATTTATTTTATTTATACGTTATTTAATCATATAGATGATTGTACTGGACAAAGCTAAAATCTCAAATCCAACAATCGGTATCTGGAATGAGATTGTAACTTTTCCCCTCAGGAAACCATATGAAATGACACAGAGTGGATTTGACAAAAACCAAATAGGATTTTTAGGGATAACATTCATATGTTTTGAGAACCAAAGTATTTTCTACAACCAGAAGATAATAATATGAAACAAGAAGGGTTTTTACCCAGAATGCAATTGATGTTTGTACCCATAGTGCTTAATGTACCCAGGATGCATTATACAATGTTGGCTTTAAAGAAATCTGTGTCTGAGAGATAAATATCTGAATACTGGAATATAGAAAAATGATTTCTACTATTTGAATAAACTTAGAGTTGTAATTTTCAAAGCGTATATTGTTATGGCACCAGAAAGAATATTTCTATATCTCCAAATTGAGCAACTAAAATTGAACAAAATATAAAACAACTTAAACTGGACTTGGTGGTGTAGTATCTCGATTTTTACACATTTGCTTTTGCAATCTAATTCAACTAAAATTATTTATACAAATTAAATATTTACAAATATGGTACAAATTATAACTGAAAACACATGACATTGTGTTATGATTGGCTGGGTTTCTTTCATCAGCCAAAAAAGTCCATCAACAAGTTACAAATGATGCGTCCAAAATCATGGGATTTCAAGACTATCAAGCCTGCCCCATTGGAAAATATTGCCTACATTTTTCGAATGAGAAAATCAAAGAAACAGTTTGAAAAGGCTTAAGATTTTTGTAATAATGATTCAATAATGTTTTGATAACTAACTCATGGGAATCAAAAAATGACATTATTTATCTGAAATATGATTTTACTTCATCATCATTTGTGCCATCTTTATGAAAGTCTGCAAAATATATGCACATATAAATAGATGTACTAAATGTTTCCAATGCGCTTACTTTACTTTTTCAAAATGACAGAAATTGTAACTTCATACTTTATATTTCATTTACATACAAAACTTTGGACCAACTCGTTTCTACCAAAGCATAAAGATTCAGTAGGAAAAACATCTTTAAAAAGATACTGTTAATAAAAAACAGTACACGCACATATGCATGATTTGTAGTATAATATAGATATCTAATATATACATTCTAAAAAATAGTCTCATAGAAAACTGTTTTGATTTTATCTCAAGGTACATAGATATATACAGCGAGAAAAAATGAGATTTGCCGCTTGAATGAAGCCTCGTTGTCTAAGCTTTCAGGTTAGAAACTAGAAATATATGAACTATCAAAAAGTCTGCCTTTACCCCAACACAATGTCTGAGGAAATGTTTTAGGTAGAGTCAATCTGACCCTCACACTGAAATACAACAGTTGATTTTTAAATTCTTACTGGGAAGTTTTTTAGAGATTTAAAGATGTATGCTAGCCTCAAAGGGATAATAAAAATGCCAGTACAGTAAATCCTGTATATTCAAACAGCTCTCTAATCTGAACACCTCTCAATGTAACTGTACTTTTTCAGCCTAATTTTTAATCTGCAAGAGACATCCATATCTCTTTCGGCTGGTTCCGGAGATATTTAAATTAGACAGGATTTACTGTATATCCTCCAAGGGGAAGATCAGTACAGATTAAATGTCAATTTGCAGATTTCAAGCTAGTCTTGCACCAAGACCCTGTATCCCCTCTAGCTCAGGATCCAAGTGAGAAGGGGGGGGGGGGATACAGGTTGTTGCAAGACTCATCTTAACCATATCCAGTGATCCCCAAGTGTTAGAGCAACAAGGTGTTGCACCATTAAAACTATGATCATTACACATTGAAAAACTGAGATGTTTTGACCAAAACTGGTCTAGTCAGAATTTGGTACCCCGATTAAAGAGGATCTCTTGGGAGATCACTGCATATCTCATCACGAGTGGTCTAAGGCAAGCGCTTCAAGGATTAGTTTTGCTTTATACAATTCAATACAATTTACAAAGCTATAAAGCTGTATTAAGAAATAATATACATCTATGCTATACATGATAAACAAGGAACACAGGTCTACAGGGTCAAGAAGTTTGAATATTTCTTGTCTATTCAACATTGTATATATATATATATCAATCTTCACCATTACCCGATGTAGAAATTACAAGAAATAGACAATGCTAGTTTGTTTAACTTGGGAATATGTTGCGGTTTACTAACTTTTGCCACACCCATAAAATATGTTTCTAATATTAAGGACTACGATATATTTTAATCTACACCTATTATTTTATAGACTTATTGTGTTATGTTTACATGTTTTGAGATCACATGTGAAATTGTTGTTACATACTCCCAAAGTGTTGTCTGCTGAATCAAGGTCAAGGTCAGCCTCACTTTGAATCCAAGCAGACAACATATCACCCCTGAATTGATTAATATTTGCACATAATTTTTCCATACCATATCACAATGGTATTTATAATTTCTTACTCCATGATTATTTTTTGCTTCAGTCAAAAGATTTCCATCAAAAATAATTTATTCATGATGCGAGTTCGAAATGTCGATTCTCCAACAGTGCGGTACTAGGTGCCACCTGTTCCATTTGCTCCCTTTAAACGATCACTATTGACGGCTTGTAGTTTCTGACTGAAAATAATAGAGTTCCCGAGATTCATTTTCTTGGTAGGGTTATCGCTTGAACTATCTTCATCCCGAAGATGTAGACGTTTTCCCGCTGTGATCTTTCGCTCTCCGAGACGCAACATATTGTTAATCGCTTTTAAATCCTGAAAATACAAAAGTCATGTGTTACGTTTATTAGCTGCACAACAGAGTTTTGCAAGAAAGAACAATTCCTACATGAATATGAAAAAGTTTCTCCCTTGATATTTTTGTCAAGGGAGCAAAATCTCCTTTCCAGGTTTGACCAGAGTGTGAAAATAAAGAAAACTCATGACTTTTCCAGTTTTCAAGTGGGTGCAAACGAGTTGCAAGGTGCAAGGATATTTTCAAAACAGCCAGTTTAAATTACATAAAACATTGGACCATTGGAAACCCATTCTTTCCAAATATTCAAATTTTATGATTTTTTGCAGATCCATAACAAAGTAACCAAGCAATGACAATACCAGCAAACCAACCATTAGCTAGCACCTGATTTTGATTAACTCTAATTATTCCAGGCTCTTACCTTGGCGGGTGATTTATTGAAACACCACAGTAGTCTACTGGTGGGTGTCTGTGGCTCCCCTGATGTTTTGTGTGGGGATATGTACAGTGAGTGGTTGTTGGACACACGTCTAGGGGAAGTGGGTTGGGTCCTATGTAAAGGCAACGGTGACAGCATAGGAGCATCATTCTGAAATACACGATGAACATTGTTTTGTTCATGAATTCTAAATCTGCATTTCTGATGAGTTCAAAATAACTATGGTAAGTATACAACAATAAGGATCCACCAATTAATTTGTACAGAGTATTTTAAGTTTTAATTTGACCATTGCATGAACGAAGTTATTGGTAACTTACCCCAAAATTTATTTCACCCAAAAGTGAATTTGATGTGCCTTGCACCTCATTATTGGTTGACAATTTGATAAATATATTGAAAATCATTACCTTCTCTTCTTTCCCAGTGGTAAACTTGACAGCGTAACTCCGCACCCGCTTGACAAATATGGTGTTATAGAACTTAATGAGATCACCACGCTCTTCAAACTCAAATGATGACCCTGTGCCTGCTAGTCTTGTGGGGGTAGGGGGTTGGCTGTTCTCGTGAGAGGGGGGTAGAGTACTCGTTGAACGAATCATAGCTAGACGTTCAGCACGCTCTGTAAAATACAACATATGAACTTAGTCCTTCTGTGAAAGTAATTAAAGGAGTTGGGTAAACAAGGCCATTTTAAGCCCCACCTGATTTTCAAGTTTTCTCTTTATTTTATTAATCTATGTGATATATGTGTTTCAAAAATCTATGAAAATTTAGGTCAAAAGGTCATATTCCCCAGGTCAAGGTCAAATTAAAAAATTCATTATTTTCTACCAAAATATACCTTTTTGGTTAAAATATCACAAATATCTGTAGGAATTTAGTCTCATAGAGGTTGGAATTACAATATATAGTAAATTGGCAATTTGCCAATAATGAGATATTTATATTAATATATTCCGCCCTTCCCACGCAACACTGAAAGAGAACAAAAGTACCTAAAATAATGAAAATACTTTATTATTTTTAATTCATTTAAATTCAGAATGTACATTTCATGATTTTCCTCTGCCAATATCATATTTTCCCTCAGGATAAAATTCATATTCCATCCCTCCCATTATATAACCTCTATGTATTCAATAGCAATATCACACAATTCAATATCGCCCAAATATGACCCAGATAATGTCCTAATATCATAGCAACATCAACCAATTGTCAATCAAATGTCACTCTATATCAATCCAAAATAACCCAAGTATTGGCCTCATATTATTTAGGTAACAGTCCAATATCAACCCTCTTATTTACCAAATATCACCCAATTATTCTGATTGTAATAATATCCCACTGTAAATCCAATATCAGCCAAATATGAGCCAAATAATGGACCCAATATGATAGCGATATCACCCCAATATCAATCCAATATCACCCAAATATTGGCCCAATGTGATAGCAATATCACCCAAATATCAAGCAAATATTGGCCCAATATCAATCCAATATCACCCAAATATTAGCCCAATATTATAGCAATATCACCCAAATATAAGCCCAATTCGATAGCAATTTCTGACAAATATCAATCCAATATTAACTTTATATCTGCCCAATTACCAACATATTGCCATTACATAAGCAATATCAAAAAATATAAGTTCTGATATCAACCTAATATCACAACAATCTCCTCCCAAATCAAGCTTATATTACCTCAATATCACTTCTATTACTAGTTGCAATAGTCTTGACTTGTGAAGCTAAATCTTCTGTAACCTTTCTCCGTTTTCTAGGAGAATTTACCTGCTTCCTACATATGCAGCATGAATAGCATTTGGCCATTTTGAATAATCAACAAAAATGGCAGGCAAAATTTTCTATAAAGTTCTGAAATTCACATCGAGCATAATAAGTCTCCATCAAAATTATTCTTTGTATGCAACAATATAACATTTATGTAACTAAAGAAGCACTTATTAGAGTGGAGACTTGTTATGCTCTATGTGAAAACACTCAAAGGATTACTACCTCCAGTGAATAAAAATGTCACCCAGACTCAGCATGAAATGTCCTTTCAAAGCTTTACTTACCTCTAAACTGTACATATTGTTTAAATCAATTGTATGTATGGATCAAATAAATATATATTTACATAATCCTGGACAGATAAATCAAAAACATTCATTCATAGCTGAGTAAATTGGAATTCATCAAGAGGGTTGTAAAATATGTGATTTTTTTTCCTTCTGGCCCCCACCCTCTTTGAAGGTCTCCAGACACCGTAACAATTTTTTCTAAATTTTTTTAAAAATACTACCCAAAAATATAGACTTCAATCTATGCATTTCTGATGTTTTTTTCTCCTATTCTTAAAAAAAGTTTTTTCACACTTCAATTGGGGCACTCTCTGTTGCTAGTTTACCCAACTCCTTTAAGAAGGAAAATTTTTTACTTGAGGTATTCTGTAATTCGATTTGGACACATGAACAATTGTGCACATTGGATTGTATAAGTTTTCCCTTACTTTTTTCTTGTTTCTCTCGCTCCTCTTTTGATTGGTCAACTGGAGATGATGTCCCACTGGCCCCGTTGCGACTACTATCACTACTGCCGGAGTGATGTCTTCGTCTGTTATTCACCAACACACTGCGATATACCTGAAAGAATTAATTCATTAATTTAGAAACATGAAACAGGTAAAAGCATCTCAATAGGCAGCCCTATCTTTTAAAGGCATCAGATGGCAAATTCTCACAATAAAATAACAAATAATATTTTCTGCCTGCAGTTAAAGGTTTTTAACACCCTAGGTCTTAGAACAATGATGATGTAGAGAAAAATTTTTGTTCTCTTCGACCATAAAATCTGTAAAAAAAACCTTGAAATGTGAACCCCTGCCGAAACAAACACTTTTGGCCAGTTCTAGAGGGGTACCTCTAGAGGCATTCAGATTTAACAGAATCTACTATATCTATTTATTACTTACATGACTTTGGCTCTGTGGCTGTAGCCTATAACATTTCATGATATCCTGGAAAGACTGCGTATCACCAGTGACTTTACACATGACGTAAGTCGCACACATTAACAGCTGATCTATATGGCGGTCCATCATGAGGTCTATGTGCTTTATTAAAGTATGCTCAAATAGAGTCCAAATTTTTTGGCGTAATTCTGATTCAATTCCTAATTGTTCACAGAGATGTCTCAAGCGAGTGCTGGCAAGATGGTACACCTGGAGTAAAGAAGGAAATCAATGTTATTAAGGCGGGGCTTGTGCAGTGAATTCTGAACCTGGGGGCCATTAACAGAAACTTTGTAAAGTAAGGAATTTGTCCACTGTCCCAAGTCCATTGTTCTTAAATACTGTGACGTCATTATATCCAAGGTTACAACAACTGATTTACGGATTTCAAACTTTACAAAGTTTCTGTTAATGGCCCCCCCTGGTTATGCAAGTCTACTGTAAGATTCCTGAGAAATTACTCATCCTATAGACGAATCGTCAATTTATTGGGTCAATTCTTGGTGTAAACATAACTTCTCTACAGAATACAGTATTGATTCAATTTTTCTATTAATCGGCTATTCTTCAAAATATTTTGAGGAATTTTGAAGTGATTATGAAAATCTATGAAACAACCATTGTACCTTTCTAAAGAATAGCCCCAGTGATCCTCCACGCTTGGGTTTGTTCTGAGGCTTACTAGGAGTGGATCCTTTGGCTAAACCTGCAACCGTTGAACCAGAAGCTCCTGCAGCTATAATCTGAACTGGAATAAGGACCTGACGGCCATCCTGCGTCTGGGCCTGGTGGTACATTGTCATAGGTTTGGGGGCCTGCCCCTGTCCCTCTGCTGTATCTGTTCCACCTGAGGCTGATCCTGGGGCCGTCACCACGATTGTCTGCTGTTCTCCCCCCTGTTGACCGAACAATCTCCTTTTGGCACCACCGGGAGTTGGTGAACCGAATCGATCGGTTGCTGATGGACCAGTAGGTGACATCATAGGATCTGGAGGAGACGAGTAATTTTCAGATTTGAGTCGTAAATGGTCCATCAAATACGCACGATTAAAAATAAAAATAAAATGTCAAAAACTATAAGGTTGACACATGGGTAATCATCAAATGTATCTAATCATTGAAAATTATCAGCTGCTTTTCTTATTACACACAAACTACATAGTCCATAACTGGATCATAAGTCATACCTTTCTTTGCGGAGTCTGACCTGACGAAAGCTGCCCTGCCCTCTCCAGCTAGTCTTTTCACAGTGGGATGAATCAGTGGAGAGGAGGATACACTTGCACTAGCATCCCCTTTGTCTATTTGGCTGGGTAGCGTCACCTTGAAAAAGACAACAAATATGTATATGTACTATCTTATATTTCTATAAGATCTCTGGAAATATAGAACAAATATGTATATGTACTATCTTTTATTTTCTATATGATCTCTGAAAATATAGGACAAAGTTATCTTATATTTTCTACAAGATCTCTGGAAAAAGAGAACAAATAAATTCATGTACATTTTTGTATCACCACCCATCCACTCCCTTTTTGATCATAATATAGTACCCGGGGGTACAAAATTTGAATTTGATCATAATATAGTACCCGGGGGTACAAAAACTCTGTTTATTCAAAAGAACATATAACATTAAATAAACTTAAAACCTTCATCTTACTTCAAATACTATGTATTCAACTAATATGAAGCCTGTTTATTTGACCTTCTTGGGGTATTAGACAAATATTTACATAAGCCATGTAACAAATTTTCCCTGCCTCACTTCAAACATATAAATTCAATACAATGATAGGGTAGTACATCCTTGATCTATTATTCAATTTACTCATTATTGAACATATTTATTCGACCTTCACCTGGTACAAGATAAATATTTACATAGTTAATGCATAGCACTTCACATAAAAACAAGTAAGTGCAGTTTTTCCATTAATTTCATAACATCAAATTGCATATTCAAGATACACACTAAATATACAGTGGAACCTGTTTGTTGTAATACTGCTGGAACAGCCGTAATATGTTCCAGTCACCGATCAAATCAATAAAAAAATGAAATAATTAACTTTAAAGCGCTCTTTCTCAGCTACACAATGAACAAATAGGAACTTGACTGTGAGTTCACATTTTGTGTTCACACAGTTTCACAGGTTTTACTGTATGTATCACAAACAATAGAGTATAGGAAATGAAAAGCAACAAAAATGGAGCATAAAACAATGACTGCCATAAAACATCAATTTAACGATGTAAAACATCAAACAATTAACTATACCTGTTCACAAGAAGGTACAACATCTCCCTGTTCTTTGATAGCTGTCCATATAGTGCTGCCGTACTTCCAAGCCTGAGACTCGAGGATCGTCTCCTCGACATGGTTCAAGTGTTTCACTACATCTCGAGACAGGCCATCTTCTGTACGGATCAACACCTCGATTACTTTGTAAAAGTCATAGGCCTGTAAATCGAACACCTCCATAATCCAGGGGAATGATCTACAATTACAGAAAAGAATTATCAGTTGTTGTTTTTAGATGGTTATTTTTTTTTATCATCATTACACTTTATTCCATAAATCAAAATTAACAATCTTATAAGCATTGGTGGCAATTCTGGTCATTTAGTGATTGGGTACGGGTATTTGTAGAAACATAAAATAGCGGTACATATAAATTGCCAATTTGGGGACTTAATATAAAAGGGAATTCAAATTAAGAACCGAAGTTCAGTTTGTCAAAACTCTTTTGATCCAAATGTTGTTACGTGGTTAAATCGGAAACCATCAGAACATATGAATTATCATGTTATGGAATATGTTTATCCGAAGGTGCAGCTGGCTCTCTCACTGCACTTAAATCTCTGCTTTGGAGAATGAGTACCTACCTTTGTGAGTTGTATGAGAAGATGACAATCTCCAAGCAGCAGGCAAATAGGCACTGGTGGAATACATCCTGTTCCAGCAAGTACTGGAATAAGAACATACTCAAACTCAAACATTTTGAATTTCAATAATTTTTATATAACATAAATATCAGATGTCACAATTTGGTTGCAAAACAGGAAGCTCTAAATCGAAAAAATTAAACAAAAACCTTGCATTTTTAGTCTAGCTTACTTATTGTTTTTCTTTAACATTTCAACCTATAACAAGTCATTAACATGTGAAATATTACTACCTGCCATTTGCTACAAACACCAATCGCAAAACGTAGTCAAGAAACAGTTTGAGACTATAACAATATGTCACCACTTGTGGTGAGGTGACATAACAAACCAATTGAATTGAATAGTCGCTAGGATAAAGTAACTTACAGCAAAGTCACATCTTCCTGTGCTATCTCTGTGACTGGCCAGGATTCTTCTTTTCTCATAAACCATGATATTCTCCAGTGTCTTAAAATACAGACTCTCGCCAAGCTGCAGTCTCTTTCTGGCAAAATCAATATGGCTGCCAGGGTGATTCTCCGAGGGCTGGGCATAATGGGTGCAGAAAATTTCCCCCATTTTCTTGACACGTTGTACCACAGTATCTTTAGGATTTACCGAACATTCCCTAAAATGGATTGAAATTTGCCATTATACAGGTTGTTGGGATATTTGATTCTTCACGGAGAAGTACAACAACTTCTTCACATTCAAAATTTAAAGTTTGACTGACGGGTTGTTCAATTTGCCATTATACAGGTATTTATATATTTGGCTATTGATTCTTCACGGAGAAGTACAACAACTTCTTCACATTCAAAATTTAAAGTTTGACTGACGGGTTGTTCAATTTGCCATTATACAGGTATTTATATATTTGGCTATTGATTCTTCACGGAGAAGTACAACAACTTCTTCACATTCAAAATTTAAAGTTTGACTGACGGGTTGTTCAATTTGCCATTATACAGGTATTTATATATTTGGCTATTGATTCTTCACGGAGAAGTACAACAACTTCTTCACATTCAAAATTTAAAGTTTGACTGACGGGTTGTTCAATTTGCCATTATACAGGTATTTATATATTTGGCTATTGATTCTTCATGGAGAAGTACAACAACTTCTTCACATTCAAAATTTAAAGTTTGACTGAGGGGTTGTTCATTAAATCTAGGAACTTGAAACCAAGGGTTTATATCAAGCAACATAAGAGTTAATTGGAATATTTAATTTGAGAAAATAAATTGCTAACAAGCAATCAGTTAAAGAGTCCTACTTGGTTTATAACTTGATCAATCAGTTAAATTACATATTCTACCTTTTCAATGTACCTTGAAACAGAAGAGAATGCAAAAATAAACTCACTCAAAAATGCTCATTAACTCCTCACTAGGGCTGGTCTTCCTACCAGACAACAAAGCCTGTAACCGATGTACACCTTGTGTTGCCGTGGAAACAGGTGTGACATCAGAGGTGTCTTTTTCCTTCAAGTAGCGTCTTCCTGTCAGCGGAGTGTCTGGACATAATGACTGGTTCTAAAATGATAGATTAAAGAGATTAGTTTTTATTCAGAAAGTATTTGAAATGCTCCCTCTTTAGAGTCCCAGAGTGAAACTGCTGCAAAGGGTAGCCTACATTTTTGCCAGGACATGTTATGGCACAAAAATAAAGAATAAATGAATTTTTATTTATTTCTTTAACTGTAATTTTATCTTCAGTAATCTCAGATTTGATACAAGGCTCGGTCTCACAACGAATATTAAATAGCTTTGTTAAAAAATGTTAATTCAAAAGGTATATATTAAGATTTGAATAAATTAAAAAGAAAAAAAGTATGACAATTTCTACATATGAGAGTACCTGGTCAAATGTTTGTAAATGCTGTTTAATCTGCATCCTTTCTGAAAGGTCATCAGCCATTGGTTGAGCAGATTTAGCGGGCGTTCCAATCTCCGTAGTTGCATCATCTCCGACAAAGATTCTCTCATCAAAGTCACCAACATTCAGTACATATTCCTCATAGGCTGATCGTATAGCTTTGCTGCAACCATGACAACATAAAGGATTTAAACACAGATAATATAGAATTTCTACAATGAATATATATTAAAAATGTATGCAATTATAGTCATCTAATTTTATTGTTATAATACCAACCAAACAACTCAAGAGTATAAAAGAAACAAATTAAGTAAACAATTAGTATTGACTAAAATAAACAAATCCTTTACAATAAATTGACTCACCTGTTTGCTTCAAAGTGACCAACTTCCAGTATCCCAGTCAGGTTCTCCACCTTCCCCTTCAAAAACTGAAAACACATCAAAAGTTCATTTTAAATAGATGAGACTATGGCATATGCTCTCTTAATTTTATAAATAAATCATCATGAAACCTACTTTAATTTTAGTTCTCAACAGAATTACACTTTTCAATAGTTTTTCAAGAGAGATAAATTGGTAGTAATTACTTCTACCAAATGATCTCCAGGGTTCAGTTAATTAATACTAATACAACAAAAATTGGGATAAAATTAAAAATTTGCGAAGCAGCTAAAGAATATCCCTATACAAAACACCTGAAAGTGTTACTTGAGAATGATAAGGCCTGGCCGTCAATACTTAATATTAGCACATTAAATTATCATTTCATTAACAATTTATTTACAGTAGTACTTTAGCAATAGTATATTAACCTTCATGTATTTGTAAATCAATCCACCAGGCATGTTGCAGACTAAGATGATTATTGTATAAAAGAGATTATTCTTGATCCGTTTTATTCACTTTTATATTCCATGTTTAATGTTAGACTACCATGCTGTGCGCTAGCTTAGCTGAGTTATTCACTAAACATTGCAAAATAATGATATTGCCTCTTGTTTTTACATATTGTAGGGCATATTACAATAACCTGCGATCACCCATTTTTCATACTTTTTATTTGTATGTTTAATGTTCGGTTGTTGCAGTATACATGTATGTATTTTTGCAATTCACTTGTTTTTTCAATTTTGTTTTATCATCTGTCTACTGGCATGTAACAGTAATCCATAAAATTCCATATGCAGTTATCTTAAGTGCAAAATGCAGACATTGCAATGCAATTGATGTTATTGCACCATCAAGATCCAATGAATATTGTAAATTGCCGATATTGCTGTATATTTTGGGACGATTTCATCATCCAACTAACTACAATGCTATTCCATGTTTTAAGTTATCCCTTAAGTTTTTTTAATGCAAACATTGCTATTGGCACGTAACACAAGACTTTTTTCAATCATTCACTCATTCATTGAAAAAAAACATTTGCCTGGAGTTCAATATATTATTATTCATCGTGAGCCCTAGATTGCTACACATGAATTACCGTCTCACTTTTTCATTTTCAATGGCCCTATAATCCAATGTAGCGAGGGCTCAATCACTCAGTGCACTAATAACTGTATATGCACCTGTTAACGAGTTTACAGGTGAATCAATGGATTCCTTTGATGTTTTACCTGGGGCAGGTAAATGGCCACACCTGGGTTTTGTTTGAAAAAAGTATTGATTGATGAAATTTCAGTTTTACTTTTCCTCATAAATCTGCCATGTTTTGTACATTCACATCACATTTTGAGATTTTTTGCAGTTTACTATTTTCTCATTGAGTTTACATCCGATTGAGTTTTGAAATTATAATTTTATCCTTCACTGAAATATCATAAAATCTTTTAGATGCATTTCACTAAAATAAGTTTAACTTCTTTTTTTCTCCAAAATTCTGCCTACATGCATGTGTGAATGTAGGTAAAATTTTTATCAAATGGCTAAGAAATTCCAATCCTTGTTATAAATGAACACCTTATTTAGTTTCCAAAATTAGTGTACTTCAAATATATGAATTAAAATCCTTCTTTTGTTTATGCATTCAAACATCAAATCCTTTACCAGCCTAAAATTAATGTGTCCATCTCTCCAAGTGACTGCTGACGTGCACACGTGAAAAATAATCCAATTTTAAAATGAGTCATAGAAAAACCAGTCCAAATCGGGCGGTTGAAAAAACTGAACAGGTCTAAGCGCGTTTTTCTTATCTATATAAACAGCCTATTGACTTGTGACTTTAAGCATAAGTCTCTTAATCAAATACTTCAAGTGGCTTTATGTTTACAATAAGCATGGTGACATAATGCAGCACGTATCATTTTTCTAGTAGCCTAACATTACTTTAATCAACTGCTATTGATATTGGATTTTCAAGTGTCCTGTTTAGGACGTGTTCTATTCCATCGGAAAATTGGAACTGTAGTTCTGAAAGGTCCATATAATTACTCCCATTGTCTCATTCATTTTATAAATTCCTCTGTAATGGATATTCATTGTGTAATTTTCTTCTTAATGACACCAGGAATTTTCCTGTTTAAAAAATGTCAATCATACACATGTGAAATTCTGCATATGTACAACTTTCAAAAACATAAAAAACGTGAATTAATAATCCGTTGTTGTCATCCATAAATCTGAAAACACGCAAATCTAGTTCGTTGACACTGGAAGTTGTTACATTGAACAGTGAAGAAATTTTTTCTGCAGGATGTATTTTAAGTACAGTAACTTATTTTTTGTTCTCCAGGGTTATATGACCTATTGATCTTCCTCTCTCAATTTCCAGGCATTAATTCCTACATCGTTATTCTCTATTTGTTCAGCATTATGAGCAATCATATTCTTAATGTGTTTTCAAATTTTTGCACCAACTGACACTTGTCAAGAATTTTTTTTTTTTTTTTTTTTTTTTTTTTTTTATATAAAAAGTATATATTTCTCCAGTATATCAGACACTTCTAATGAATATTAAATAGCCGTATATTGAAAGAAATAATTGTTTATCAAATGTTTTGGATACATTTGAATAAATTACAAAAATTCTATAATATAATATTCAGCGATACTTTAAATCCATAACTTAAAGCTCAAAATCACTCCTAATTTTTAGACAATCACATATCTCATAAAACGTATATTGACTTATCTCAAATTTCTTCAGCATTGACGAAACTGTATGCTAATATTTGCATTATGTTTTTATGAAGCACGTCAATATTTGTTCAATGACTTTCCATTTCACAGTATCAATGACTTAATAAATGAAAGTGTTCTAGGTGATTTACAAGTGCATTGGGGTTATTTTTTGCTTTGATATTAAATTTTGTAAATTATTAGGAGGCCCTTCAAGGGGCCTCCTATCATTTTTGTAGTTATTAGGAGGCCCTTCCAGGGGGCCTCCTATAGTTTTTGTAGTTATTCTTCTTCTTCTTCTTCTTCTTCTTATTATTCTTTTTAGCACTTTTTCTCCTACTTCTAGCTAGGTCTGAATTAACTCTTATATGCTCCTACTAGGGACATGAGCTGGACTTGTCGGGAAATTAGTTCATATCTAGGTCAAGGTCAAAGGTCAAAATCTAGGTCAAATCTAAGTTTTTTTTAAGTTTCTCAGATTTCGTCCTCATACTTCATTATTTCTTGCGATGAATTAAAATGTAACTAGATATAAGCATTCTCTACAAATTGCTCACTATATGTACGCGTTAATTTTTTACCGTTTTTGAGATATTTGACGTCAAAAATCGGCAAAAATCGGTCATTTTTCAACTTGCTTCAAATGAACCAGATTTTTTTTTAAAACTCATGTACACGTTCTAAGGATTCCAAATCTGACCTTACTTTTGACCTTTGACCTTTGGTTGACCTCCAGTGACCTCCGAAAGGTCAAAAAAGTTGATTTTTCAAATCGATTTTCTGGATTCAAATTTAGGTATATTTATTCACAAAAGACCCACTGAGGTCTAAAAAAGTAAAATTTGCAAGGTCAAAGGTCAAGGTCATCAAACGAAATCACAAACAGTGTTTTCTAAGTTTCTCAAAATTGGAGACTACAAATCAATTTTTTTTACTGAAAGTCAGGATATATATTCCTCTAAAGGTTCTACACATATTAGCAATTGACTATTTATTAAAATTTTGCTCCAGTTTTGAGATATTAGAACTGAAAAACTGAAAAAAGGTCAAATTTTGAAATTTCTCAAGGTCAAATTTCAACTTGCTCTAAATTGACCAAATTTTTTTTTAAAAAGCATCTACTAGATCTCAGGAACTCAAATCTGACCTTAGTTTTGACCTATGACCTTTAGTTGACCTTCTGTGACCTTCGAAAGGTCAAAAAAGTTGATTTTTCAAATTGATTTTTTGGATTCAAATTTAGGTCAGCTTAATCACAAAGGACATACTGAGCTCTGAAAAAGTAAAATTTTCAAGGTCAAAGGTCAAGGTCATCAAATTAGATAACAAACTGTGCTATTTAAGTTTCTCAAAATTCGAGACTACAAATCAATATTTTTGGTTGAAAGTCAGGATATCTATTCCTCTAGAGGTACTTCACATATTAGCAATTGACTATCTATTAAAACTTTGCACCAGTTTTGAGATATAAGAGCTCAAGAACTGAAAAAAGGTCAAGTTTCGAAAATTTTGAAGGTCAAATTTCAACTTGCTTCAAATTGACCAAATATTTTTTTAAAAAGCATCTACAAAGTCTCAGGAGTTCAAATTTGACCTCAGATTTGACCTTTGACCTTTACTTGACCTTCTGTGACCTTCGAAAGGTAAAAAAATGTTGATTTTTCAAAATGATTTTTTAGATTCAAATTTAGGTCAGCTTAATCACAAAGGACATACTGAGCTCTGAAAAAGTACAATTTTTAAGGTCAAAGGTCAAGGTCATCAAATTAGGTCACAAACTGTGTTATCTAAGTTTCTCAGAATTCAAGACTACAAATCAATATTTTTGGTTGAAAGTCAGGATATATATTCCTCTAGAGGTACTTCACATATTAGGAATTGACTATCTATTAAAATTTTGCACCAGTTTTGAGATATAAGAGCTCAAGGACTGAAAAAAAGTCAAATTTCGAAAATTTTCATGGTCAAATTTCAACTTGCTTCAAATTGACCAATTCTTTTTTAAAAAAAGCGTCTACAAAGTCTCAGGAGTTCAAATCTGACCTCAAATTTGGCCTTTGACCTTTAGTTGACCTTCTGTGACCTTCGAAAGGTAGAAAAAAGTTGATTTTTCAAATTGACTTTTTGGATTCAAATTTAAGTCCGCTTAATCACAAAAGACATACTGAGCTCTGAAAAAGTAAAATTTTCAAGGTCAAAGGTCAAGGTCATCAAATTAGGTGACAAACTGTGGTATCTACGGGGCCTCCGTAAGATTGCTTGCAATCTTAGATCGTTAGATCTCTAGTTCTTCTTTATTTATTTATTTATTATTCTTTTTAGCATTTTTTCTCCAACTTCCAGCTAGCTTTGACTTATCTCATATATAATCTTATTAGGGACCTGGGCTGGACTTGTCGGGAAATTAGTTCATATCTAGGTCAAGGTCAAAGGTCAAAATCTAGGTCAAATCTAAGTTTTTTTCAAGTTTCTCAAATCCTGACACTACACTTCAATATTTTTGGCTGAATTTTTGCATACAGATAGATATTAGTATTCTATTAGTCTAAGCCTTTTGCCGTCTAGGAAAATTTTGCCTAGATTTTGAGATATTGAAGGTCAAAAAATGGTCAAAAAAGGTCTTTTTTCAACTTGCTTCAAATTGACCAAATTTTTTTTAAAACTCATCTACAAGTTCTCAGGATTCCAAATCTGACCTTACTTTTGACCTTTGACCTTTGGTTGACCTTCAGTGACCTCCGAAAGGTCAAAAAAGTTGATTTTTCAAATCGATTTTCTGGATTCAAATTTAGGAATATTTATTCACAAAAGACCTTCTGAGGTCTAAAAAAGTAAAATTTGCAAGGTCAAAGGTCAAAGTCATCAAACGAAATCACAAACTGTGTTTTCTAAGTTTCTCAAAATTGGAGACTACAAATCAATTTTTTTCACTGAAAGTCAGAAAATATATTCCTCTAAAGGTTCTACACATATTAGCAATTGACTATTTATTAAAATTTTGCTCCAGTTTTGAGATATTAGAACTCAAAAACTGAAAAAAGGTCCAACTTCGAAATTTTTCAAGGTCAAATTTCAACTTGCTCTAAATTGACCAAACTTTTTTTTAAAAAGCATCTACAAGATCTCAGGAACTCAAATCTGACCTTAGTTTTGACCTATGACCTTTAGTTGACCTTCAGTGACCTTCGAAAGGTCAAAAAGTTGATTTTTCAAATTGATTTTCTGGATTCAAATTTAGGTTAATTCAATCAGAAAAGATATGCTGAGGTCTAAAAAAGTAAAATTTTCAAGGTCAAAGTTCAAGGTCATCAAACAAGATCACAAACTGTGTTTTCTAAGTTTCTCGAAGTTTGTGACTACAAATCAATATTGTCCCATGAAAGACTGAATATATATTCATCTAAAGGTTCTACACATATTAGCAATTGATTATCTATTAAAATTTTGCACCAGTTTTGAGATATCAGAGCTCAAAAACTGAAAAAGGTCGAATTTCGAAAATTTTCAAGGTCAAATTTTAACTTGATCTAAATTGACCAAACTTTTTTTTAAAACTCATATACAAATTCTCAGGATTCCAAATCTGACCTTACTTTTGACCTTTGACCTTTTGTTGACCTTCAGTGACCTCCGAGAGGTCAAAAAAGTTGATTTTTCAAATCAATTTTCTGGATTCCAATTTAGGTGCATTTAATCACAAAAGACCCCAAGAGATCCAAAAAAGTAAAATTTGCAAGGTCAAAGGTCAAGGTCATTGAATTAAATCACAAACTGTGTTTTCCAAGTTTCTCAAAATTGGTGACTACAAATCAATATTTTTTGATGAAAGTCTGAAAATATATTCCTCTAAAGGTTCTACACATATTAGCAATTGATTATATTTTAAAATTTTGCACCAGTTTTAAGATATTAGAGCTCAAAAACTGAAAAAGGTCAAATTTCGAAAAACTTGATCTAAATTGACCAAACTTTTTTTTAAAACTCATCTACAAGTTCTCAGGATTCCAAATCTTACCTTACTTTTGACCCTTTACCTTTTGTTGACCTTAAGTGACCTCCGAAAGGTCAAAAAAGTTGATTTTTCAAATCGATTTTCTGGATTCAAATTTAAGTGCATTTAATCACAAAAGACCCGAAGAGGTCGAAAAAAGTAAATTTTGCAAGGTCAAGGTCATTAAATTAAATCACAAACTGTGTTTTCCAAGTTTCTCAAAATTGGTTACTACAAATCAATATAGTTTAATGAAAGTCTAAATATATATTCCCCCACTTTTTCTTCACATATTAGCATTTGATTATCTATTAAAATTTTGCACCAGTTTTGAGATATAAGAGCTCAAAAACTGAAAAAGGTCAACATTTCGAAAATTTTCAAGGTCAAATTTTAACTTGATCTAAATTGACCAAACTTTTTTTAAAACTCATCTACAAGTTCTTAGGATTCCAAATCTTACCTTACTTTTGACCTTTTGTTGACCTTTGGTTGACCTTTAGTGACCTCCAAAAGGTCAAAAAGTTGATTTTTCAAATCGATTTTCTGGATTCAAATTCAGGTGTATTTAATCACAAAAGAGGTCCAAAAAAGTAAAATTTGCAAGGTCAAAGGTCAAGGTCATCAAACTAAATCACAAACTGTGTTTTCTAAGTTTCTCAAAATTGGAGACTACAAATCAATATTTTTTCATGAAAGTCAGGATATATATTCCTCTATAGGTTCTACACATATTAGCAATTGACTATTTATTAAAATTGTGTACCAGTTTTGAGATATTGGAACTCAAAAACTGAAAAAAGGTCAAATTTCGAAACTTTTCAAGACTAAATTTTAACTTGCTTCAAATTGACCAATTTTTTTAAACTCATTCAAGATCTCAGGATTCCAAATCTAACCTTACATTTGACCTTTGACCTTTGGTTGACCTTCAGTGACCTCTGAAAGGTCAAAAAAGTTGATTTTTCAAATCTATTTTCTGGATTCAAATTTAGGTATATTTATTCACAAAAGACCTTCTGAGGTCTAAAAAAGTAAAATTTGCAGGGTCAAAGGTCAAGGTCATCAAACGAAATCACAAACTGTGTTTTCTAAGTTTCTCAAAATTGGAGACTACAAATCAATATTTTGAAATGAAAGTCAGACTATATATTCCTCTACTAAAGGTTTTACACATATTAGCAATTGATTATCTATTAAAATTTGGCTCCAGTTTTGAGATATTATAGCTCAAAAACTGAAAAAAGGTCAAATTTCGGAATTTTTCAAGGTCAAATTTCAACTTGCATTAATTCGACCAAACCTTTTTTAAAAATCATCTACAAGTTGTCTGGAGTTCATATATGACCTTGTATTAGAGATTTGACCTTTGGCTGCCCTTTGAATGTTCAGAAACGAATATAGGGCCTCCGTAAGATTGCTTGCAATCTTAGATCGTTCGATCTCTAGTTAGAATCTGTGAATCCATTTACATATACAGCTGAAATTATTCTTGTTAAAACGGTTTCAGAGAGACAAACCTTCAAACATATCATTCATGAGAGTGCTTAGAGTTTGATGCCTACAAGCATGACTTCATCTCAAGTGATATGTCAGAAATTGAAACCATCGTATTTCAACTCAACAATGTCAGTAATCACCTTAATCTATCTATGTTTTATATAGCAGCAAATTAACTTGCCAGACTTATAGGATTAAGTTTCAATGATTATCTAAGTGTGTGGAAGAATTAATTGGTGATCTATGATAGACGTATATAGCTGACACGCTGCACAATAACTGACACATTCGCATAAAGATAATAACACTAGCTACTAGGGGCCATATCAAAATCAATTTAACTTGCATTGTTCATCAAAAAGGGGTAGTAACACTTACAGAAAGTACGAGTTTGGGGAAAAATTTTATTTTTGAAACAGCATCTTTAAGTGAGCTTTATCAGAAATTAACAGAATCCCACGATATCAATAATTTGCTGCAGCAACTTTCTTTTCAGAAAAATCACCTTTGTTATATCTTCCTCTGGGCACTTTGATATGCTCTTTCACAATACGATCCTGTCACTATTACAAACAGTAAAACAAGGCATAAACAGGCAAAATGTCACCACTTGCCATACTGTTACAGATGATGAGTGCCGAACACTAACCACCCCCCACACACATATTAAAAATGAACATACCTTCTTATCAAATAACTTTTTGATATGTGGTTTCCACCAGTGTTCTTTGATGCCCTTGGCTTCCAGTGTTATCCCCTCATGTTTTTCGCAAAGTAATTGTATAATACATGGTACTTCTGTAGGCACTTTGTAATCCTTGCTTGAATAACTTTCTGGTAATGCTGAAAAGTTAACATATTGACTGTTACATCCATTGTAAGAGTGAAAATATAAATCTAACCAATCAATGTCACTATAACAACCAAAAATCACTACAGCAACAATTCTTTAGTTTTCTACAGCGTGCAGATACTTAAGCAGGGCATTATATAACATGCAAAATGTCACCACATGAAATTTGTTACAGACACCAAACACCGACTGCCACACACCAACCACCATCAACAAAAGAATTGAAGATCATAATTACAATTTGTCACCACCTGTAGACATAAAAATCAGTTTCTATGGCAACCATAACATTACACATGCCTATACAGCACAGACAAATAATTTATCTGTCTTACCTGAGAATGTTGGATTTAGAAGATCTCTCCTGTTGCCTAACAACGCATTGGTGTAAAACCAGTCAATACAGCACAGAAGAAGGTGATAGGAGTTGACCAGGTCATCACTGATGGCAGGGAAGTTTCCTAAACAAACAAATATTCGGTATGTAAATTGGGACATTTCTGAGACAATGAACATTACTTCTTTCATTAAAAGGGACTTTCTGATTCTTTGTCCAACTTTATGAAAAAAGCCAGTTACAATTTTTGGTATAAGTTATATCATGATTTGTCCAACATCAAAATGTCATTATTTTCTGACATGCAAATAATTTGTAGCAAAGTCTAACTTAGGATTTATTAAAACATGGCAAAACATTTTTTACCTAATTAAAATTTATTCAAGGGATTAAGTATTATTAAAGGGACTAAGTATCAATGAAAAAAAACAAAAACAGACACAGCATTGTATTTTTGCTACTATCAGATTCTTACATTCTGAATTGATCTATCACAAAAAAAGTAAATAAAATATAGCAAAAAACAGCGAATTCAACAAGGATTAGTGTAAACAGATGTGAAATCATCATAAATTATGGCAAAAATTAGAAATGAACAGTGAAAACCTCCGAAAACCATTAACAAATAATGTTGATTAAATATATGAATTAAGTGATGTTTTAAACAGGGGCTGACTCCCAATCATGCGCTCTGCCATTGATCACATGAGCCATATACCTGAACGTTTATAAAAGGACTCTTTGAATAAAATTCTATAGACTTTAATCTGCAATTTAGATTGTTATTCAAGTGCGGCTGAGCCCTGGATCGTCAATAATGAGTTCAACCTATAATTCATACATGTCATTTTTAGCTGAATTTCGCCTGGACATGTTATACATGTTTGAACAAAAATATTTTTGTTAATTTAACTTTATAAACTTTCTTTTCATATGTATTAGTTACATATTTCTTTTGCAAGTCTGAACAACAAGTCTCAACCCCATAATACTATGTTAACATAAATTTTGAATCAAGACTTATTTTAAATGGAATTTTAATAGGTGTTTACAATTTAAAAAAATATCCCTAAATAAACAATACAAATGATCAAAAAATTAATGAATAAATCGAACCATTAACAGAAACCAATTGAAATATCATATTATAAAACTCTGCAAATTCCCAATCCAGACTGGGCAAAAAATTCACTAACTAATATTCTTTTAATGATTGTTAGTTCCGATTTACATGACTGTTTACTCTATGTACCCTATAAGGGGTGATTAATTAATGAGCTCAATTAATCAACAGACAATCCAAGTCTAGACAGGGGGGGGGGGGGGGCAGGTACTTCTATTTTTATCAAAATTTGTTGATGTTTTAAGGATAAATGAGATACAATAGACCTATAGTCATTATTGCTTATTCTAATTTCAATGCTTTTACCTTGACAAAATTTGAACTTTATTGGCCCTTCCCACAAGGTCAAAACCCTTTCACATTTACATGAAACATTGGTATCTGACTGAGCTATGTCAACATATATCATGCTATATTTAGTTGTCCAAACCTTAATTAATCAATTGAGTGATATGTCTATATTTAGTTGTCCAAACCTAAATTAATCAATTGAGTGATATGTCTATATTTAGTTGACCAAACCTTAATTGATTAATTGAGTGATGTATGTCATTTACACTTGCCTTTATGTGTGCATGTCGGGGAGGGGAAACTTGATGTGAGACAATATTCCAGGCATTCACAATCTAGACACTGTCTCGAGTGTAATCTTTCTTTCAGAAGAAAGGCAATGGGCGCTCAGCATGGGTACTCCCCAATTGCTTGCAACCACAGTGTTTTTAAATGTTTCAGTGACATGTTGAGAGATTAATTGAATGATGTATGTCGCTTACCTTTCACCTGTACAAACATAGACCAGCAGAAATCAAACAGATCAGACACAGTACATGGTAGCCGCCTGCAATATAAACAGAAAATATGTCTCACTGTCCAATCACCTTGTAATGCAATTATATACCAGCTAATGGAATGCATAAAGGCGGAGTGGAGCTTTGTATCTGGGCTTCGCATAAGGATTTGGGAATTTGCTAAGGATGCATATAATCATTTCCAAAAATTAAATGCATGATCTGCAAGAAGCATTGTTTAATGTGCAAATATTTCTCAACATTTTTTTAGCGTTTGATGGCAAAGTTGATCAGAATTTGATCATTTCAGTTGCCTTCATAAAAATGATGACTTACATGAATTTTGAGCAATTTTGCAACTTTTTCCGTGATAATTTCAAACATCACTCTCCTTTGTTTTCATTTATTTTGCCTGTTGTCAAGAAAGAAACCACATTTTTTAAATTCTCAAAGTGAATTCAACTTCCCATCATTTTTATGGCAAATTTAACATGGCAAAGTACTCTATTCAATCTTACCTTTGTTTACGACTTCTGTTCTGCTTTGGTGGGTCATTGGCTGGGTTTTTAAATATATCCAAAAATATAGGTTCGTATTTCTTAAATATAACTGTTGATACGGCAAAATTTCTCTCTAATCTGTCGACCTTATCTCTGAAGTCAGTGGGAAGGTTCGCCATATCACTCCATTTTTTCATCTTATTGAAGAACTGTATTAGACTGAAAGGGAAAAATCATAAGTTAGTTTTGAATATTGAAAAATCACATCACATGATTAAATGAGATGTTGGTTTTAATAGCCATAACTCACAAAAACTACATGGAACTTCTAATATAAGCATAACAATGACTTTACCTCTAATTCAATACGTACATGTATAATTTTAATAAACTTAATGGCATGATATAATTGCCTGTGATATTCTGATTGTCCAGGTTTCACTGTAGATTGAGTTTATAAAAAAGATGCGATCATATGTTGCCATCTTTTAGTAAATAAATAGAAGTGCAGAATATTGTGTAGAATTTTGGTGGCACAAGTCGCAAAAATATCAACTATTTTTTTCATAGAAAGAAAGAACAACTTATTCGTGTGATTTGTGCCTTTAATTAAAAGTATATTATATGCAAAAATAGATAAACAAAAATAGCAAACAGTCACATAAAATGAATCACAAAAGTACATGTATTACAGGGTTCTCCCCAGAATCTAATTGCATGGCGCTCCCCCCTGCTCACCTAATTTTCCCCCCTGTTCCCCCCCTGCTTGCTTCATCCCCCCTGTTCCCCCCTGCTTGCTTCACCTGCCCAGGGTCCTCAATATAATCATAAATGGGCCATATTATCATGTAGTATTATTAAATAAAAGGTTTTCTAAATGAGATTTGGTGTTTATTTACATTTTGCAACCCTGTAACCATATGAGAGCTGCTGAAGTACATATTGACAAAGTACGCGAGTGATGCAAGCGGCAAAAATTGACACAAAAATCACGCGAGCGAAGAGAGTGGCGTAACTTGTTAAAAAATCCCCCCCCTGCTATCAAAAAATCCTGGGGAGATCACTGTATTATTAAAGAAGGACTTTCATGCCAGAAACTTTTTCAATATTTCCTCAGATCGACAGACACATCCATTTTATACATTTCAAGAATAAAATGGAAATGATCTGTTCTGCAGTTTAGATTAGCAGTTATAGACTTTAAATACTTAATCTGGGAGAAGGGGGTTCATTGGCATCATTAGGCATTGGGTGCTTTTCCCAAATATTTACCCAACATGTCCGGAAATTCTGCTTCTGCAACTGTCTTATTTTCAATAAGTTTGACTTGTTTTCATTCAATTTCCTGTAGTTGTAAGATATTCCAATGAAACCCCTTTATTTATTTATTTTTTATTTATTGTTACGATTATTGCAGCTAACCCTTGACCTAAATATAAAATGTACATGCTTTAGCATTCTTTAATAAAAATTATGATTACATTTATCTAACCTTATGAATTGACTATTATCTTAATGACCAGTTAAGAAAGTATTATCATAATTATACAGGTTGGTTCAAAAGTAGGTTTACATTTATTCAACACATGTACATGTAAATGGTAATGTGAACCTATTTTTTGGACCACCCAGTGCATTTGTATTACATTTTTTGAGAGATTCTGAGAATCTACCTGAAATGCTTGATAAGCCATTGTAGCTGAATATAACTAAAACACAATAATAAATCAATTTGATATACAGAGATGATAGTCAGCACTCTCACCGGGAAATATTTAGGATAGCATAACTATTCAATTGTGATAAATCATATTTCTGTAATATTTTATCTTTTTCACATGCTATGTATTCAGTCAAGTTTAGACTGTGGATGCAATCATGATATGCCAATAGGTTGTGGTGGGAGCTAGAGTGTGGTTCTGCGCCACAGTCTAAAAGCCTAGTGAGAGCCTTGATAATACAATGATTTCTCACAACAGGCTAAATGAATGAAAACAACAGGCAAAATTAATGGAAATCATAAATTTTAACATGAAAAAGTTGTACCTAAAAACAACAGGCGATTTTGTTAAAACAACCAATGAAAATCGCCTGTTGCCTGCTGCTAATGAAACCCCTTGAAAACTTAAACTTTGGTGAAGCCTATTCTGGGCGTATTTGCACTTTTGTAACTATGCTGAACATCTGGTTGACATAGAAACAGGTTGCAACATCTGGTTGACATAGAAACAGGTTGCAAACAAAGCTGAATCTCACATGATCAAATTTCCAACAGAACACCATGCAACATAAGAGTATGTGGATCATAAGAGGGGATAGGGGGGGGGGGGTGTTACTGGCAAGGTAAAACCATGATTTCGAATATGAAGTATTGTCTATTTAGAACCAATCTCCATTTTTATATTTTTGCAAGGGAGGTCTAGGAGGAGGAGACAAGCAACAGGTACTTTAGATGCTAAAGTGGTAACCATGGCAAACAAAACATCTGCCTTTCTTAGGGATAGAGGGATGAGTTGAACCATTAACCTTTGGTAAGACAAAGCTCAATCAAATATGCCTTTGGCTAGTGATGGTCAGGTGTTCATTGCAGGTTTTTACCCAGCTGGCCACTATGGAGACAGACATTAGACATTGACCTTGTTTTTTGTTTGTTTTTTCAACAATCATATTTCCTGAATTTAATGTCCCTGTTACAAAACTATAAACATTTGCTTGCCAGATGCTTCGGGATGTAAAGTATGATTTATTTTAGATTGACCTTTATATTGAAATAATAAATATCACACCCCCCGAATTCACCCGTGGATAAGAATTATAGAGGGGACTGGGGGAGGGGGATAGATACATTAATCGTAAATTAGAGACTCCAGCCTCATTCTATAGAGATTCAGCATTACATGTTTCTTCATTTAAACATTTCAACACAGATATTTTTTTTTATTTCATACTGGCAAATCAAAGATGGTGATTTATAGATAACTGCTTTAGACTGAGGTAGATTGCAAGAATTTTGATATACAAAAATGAAATATATTTTCTGGGATTTCTTTGTTCATTCTTTTCGTAGGATGTTGTCATGACAGCATGAAATAACTTCATTCAGCTTGATTTCTCAAATATCAGATTTTTGAAATATTTTCAACAAATACTGCATATTTATGACATTTAAAGCTTCACCTTCATTCTTCATATCGGCAACATTTCTGTGACCTATTTGGGTGATTCCAATTCAAGAATCAAAATAACATGGTGGGAGGGAGAGGGTATAAGCTGTTAAGGTTTTGTTTTTACATACCTTAGTTTGGCAGATCTTAAGAGACGAGTAAGTGACACACAGTTGCCTTCTAGCATCCCCTGTCCTACAGTGGGGGTCACAGAGCCCCTACATGCCACATATAAGGCACAAGTCAGCCAGTGAAGGTCATCTCCCTGCAATGTACAAACAACAATATCATAAGCAGGATATAAGGAAATCAATATTGTCCCAAGATTAAATAAATTATTTTTCAGATCAATGTCTTCCTCTAAAAGGTAAATGGAAATTTTTCAATTATTTTCAAATCAAAAGTTACTTCTTTTTTATGCACAGGATGCTATCATTTTGATGTAAACTTTGGAAAACACTCATAAAATGATGGTTACTTTGCCTAAGGATAAAAGTTGACATCAATTCCAACTATTAATATCAAACATGACGTATTACATGTTTATGCAATTTGTGATAAAAAATTTTGGCGGGAATGGGAACTAATTTTTTATTGATACAATCTCTAATTACTAAATGAGAGACACACTTGAAGTGATAATTAATAAACCACTTTGACTTGACTAATTAGGAGCATTATAAGATATTCTTGATCATTTGAAAATATATTGGGTAATAAGGCTTAATGAAACAATGGTACAAATTACCCCAATTATGGAGTCAGTCTCAATGTTTGTACAACAGATTTCTTGTACATTTTGATTGCCAGTGCAAATTTTTTGGTGGTTACTTATTAGAGATTATTATGTCACATGTCCAATAGCTTCTGAGGTTGTAGGCATTGTGGTAAATATAGTTATCCAAGACATACAGCTGAATGTTATCCCGTACAAGGATTATAGTCCTGAGAATGTCTCAATCTTTTGCCTGTACGATTACAACATGGGAGAATTTTCTACGCCTCTTACACTTAAGATACCTACTTCGATAGATTCCTTGATATTTTAGCATTCTTTTCGTGCAGTTGAATCCACACTTATCTGGGTTTATCGGCAGAACGAAGAAATTTTCGTTTTTGATCACAATATTTGCGTGTAATATTTAACTTATTTCAACCGTCAAATTCCTCAATTTATTGGTACTTTCGGGCCAGTCAAACGGGGAATCTCCTTTTAAATCCAACCTATCTATCTCAGCATCTTGAAAATTGATGAAACCTCTCTCAATGAAAGAGAAAAATGTTCCTGTTCTGCCGATAAACCCAGATAATTGTGGATTCAACTACGAAAAGAATGCTAAAATATCCAGGAATCTATTGAAGTAGGTATCTTAAGTATAAGAGGCACTGAAAATTCTCCCATGTTGTAATCGTACAGGCAAAAGATTGAGACGTTCTCGGGACTATAGTCCTGACACAAGATAAGCTGAATCCATCCTGTTCTGGATCCAAATAATTACTCCAAATCTCTTATAGAGTTACTTATCGTGCGAGACATTCCTATTTAATTATCAAAATCAAACACAGAGATTTCTTTGCTCACTCTCCCCCATAGCTGTTTACAATGACAATAACCCCATACATCGAAGTTCGATGTCAAAATCCTAGCAATTACACTGGCTACAATTATATCTGTATGGAAAGGCCATAAATAATTTTTATGTTTATGAATTGATACCAAAAACTCGCAGAATTTGAGGTTTGGGTCAAAGTGGGGGCACATTCTAACTCGTTTTCTGTGAATTCCTATTTCTGCTGTCCCAGATCTAGGCCTAATGAAAGTCTAGAACTCTAGGTCGAACTCATCAAGCCAGGGCAGCCCTGTCTTAGGGATAGTGCTTGCAACGGTAATGGATCTCACTGCCGGTAAATTTCACCTCCATTACCTTACCGTTACCGATAATCGTTGATACTGATAATGTTCCTAAAATCCCGGGGAAAAACCTGAAAGTGAAACTAAAATATTTGGAAAAATCCTTAACGAAGCCGATTTCTCAGCTTGATTTCCCGCTCACATCAACTAAAGTGGATATATTGTATCATCGTGTATCTCGTGTGTGATTGTGTATTGTTTGGAAGTCTTTGAATGATAATATAGAGTGAATTCGATCAAAATTGATCAAACTATTTGTGTTTGTTTTTACTTCACCGAAATATCACGTCACGTGATTTGTTAATCTCGCGGCACGGGAGATGATTGACAGAAGTGGGTGGGGTTTTGCTTATCTTCCCGCCTTTTACGAATGCTTTGCAGTTGATTGACAGATTAGCTCTTCAAATGTGGAGATTGAAATATACATGATTGATAAAATATTCTTAAACGAACATTGTTTCGTAAATTTGACAATAGATCGCAATGCCAATCATCATGTTGCAGCAGCATGGCGATTATCGGCAATGGATTTCATTACCGGCAATTGAGAGTATCTACTGCCGCTGCCGACAACCCGGCATTACCGTAAGGCACTACTTAGGGATGAACATGTATCTATAATCTTGCAATGAGACCATCTTGATTAGTTTAATTGTTTAACATATAAATGAATTGGACTTTTAATGTCTGCAATGATCCAAATGGCAATGAAAATTCCTTAGGAACATTTTCCAACTTTTTACTTCAGAAAAATTGCTCAAAATTATGGAGTTCTCATATCTTCAATAATGGTTCCATGTTCTCAATTCTTTCACAAAACTGAGCAGTAACCATAATACGTTTACAAATGGAATATAAAATGGAGACAGCACGGTCACATCAGTGTAAAATATCAGAATTTCAACTTTATTTTGGTTATGGCCAGAAAAACATGGCGACCAGAATCAAAATTTACCTCAAGTGTGTAGTTTGCATTGATTCTTTCGAACATTTTCCACGCTTCATCCTTCGCTCCTTGGTCCATATTAAGCTCCAGACATAGCTCTTCATATCGAGAGCTAGTGCTTTCTTCACCGTCTTCTGAAAGCCCCATTTTGTTCGTTTTTGTGAGTAACCGATTGCGTCTCAAAACAATGGCGGTCTCAGCTCGGAAGGATTCAGTCTCAATGGCGCGAAAATTGAACCAATCACAGCCAAGTGTAAACAACATGTGTCCGACCCGGGAAATAAATCCCCGGGAAAACAGATGTTATCAGCAAATCTTTGGAGTGTTCTTAATAATAAATCAATTGAATACCTTCATTTGATTCTCATTCTGGCAAATTGTTATGCATTTTTGGCCCTGTAAGTCTCATATCATCAAGTCAAAACCCTTTAGTTACAGAGGTCATGGATTTGATGGGGAACTCCAAGACATTTAAATTTAGTTGTGGTGAAGTTTCAAAGATGGCACCTTGGCAAAATTTCAAGAAAAAGATCAGAACCAGAAATCACTAAAGGCAATATTTCAAAACAACAGGACAGTTGCTTTCCATCTCTAAAAATACACTTTTAGTAATTTGTTTGACATTTTGCGAGGTAAAATGACGTAATGGTTGTTTTGATAATACATCCTTTCATTGCATTGGGTAAATGAGTTCATGGAATCTCCATTTTGCCTAATATGTTCCTTTTATGGGTAGACATTGCCACCAGTTCTGTTGTGTTGAACTCTCATTTTTGACTTTTGTCCTTGGGCTAAGCCTCAAAACTCCCAGATGTAGAAATGAGGGTATAAAGGTGGGGTTAGTCCGCCTACTTCTGGGATAGTTCTTTCTACTTAACAAAGATAAGGAAACTACAATAGGATGTTATTTATTACTGGAAGTTTATAGGAAGGATTCAAATGAAAGGAGAGGGGTCTATGCTGAGAGTTTTATTTGTGGGCCTTATATTTGGACACATGTTTTTAAGAAAGTTACTTATTCTTGAACTTAACTCTCCCCCCAGATCCGCCAGTGGAATGGAATTACAATCACCTTGTCCCACTCCCAAGATATTGTCCCTATAGGTATTGTCAATAGAAAGGCAATAGTCAGTTCTCTTGATCGAATGACCTTTATTGATCAAGGTCACACAATATTTTAAATACAGTGTATATGGTTACTATTACTATGGTATTCAGTGAGCAGGGACATTAGATATTTTTCAAACAAATGTTTGTGCTTCAGAGATCTTTTGAGTATTTTCATAGGATTTAGATTGGTGTAAAGATGGCAGTAGTGTAGTACCAAAGACATTGCATGTAAAGGTCTCCTGTAAAATTGAAATCAGGCATTTTATTCTTGATTGATATAGATTTATATTAGATTGATGATCTAATTGTCTTATTAATTGCCCGATTAATTGGTTTCATCTACCTGGAAATTAATTGCTTTCAAAAGACCAATAAATGATTTAAGAGTGTAGTTCATGTCAAAAATCTCTAGACAGGTTGACTGCTCTGCCATCTTTTATGAATATTCTTTCACTCAAGGTCTACTTATGATATATTGAAACTATGTCACACTACCCTACCTTCAAGTACCCCCATACTGTAGCCTGTATTTCTTTAAAAGGGATATTGGCTACAGTGGAGTTGCAAATGGAGCGGGTATTTCTATCTTTGCCTGCATAGCTTATGGTAATAATGCAATGCAAACTGCTCGATGGATCTATATTATGTATAATAGAAAACTGAGAATATATGCAAAATCTAGTATACCTTCAGAAATATGGAAATAATCAAACGTTCTCCATTTGTAACTGCAATGTTTTTAAGAAATACAGCACTGGCGGATCTGGGGGGGGGGGGGCCCAGGGGCCCGGGCCCCCCCCCCTCGGGTGGGCCCAGAAAAAAAAAAATTGGGCCAACATTTTGGTTTTAGGGGCCCAAAATTTTTTTTCTCAGACCAGGAGTTTGGGCCCCCCCCTTGTTGGTTCCCAGATCCGCCCCTGTACAGGCTACAGTATGGGACTGGGAGTAGGGTAATATCACTAGTGTTGAGAGAGGAGGATTTTCTAAAGTCCAAGATACAGAAATAAACTTCTCATTCCTTTTAGGTATCTACTGCCAAAAGATGTATTGCTCCTGAAATACACACCCACTCCAAAAATGAACAAAATAAATGTGTCAATTTTGTATACCAATCAGCCGACTTTATTCAAAAATAGTTGACGGCATTGTTTGTTCTTACAATCATTCTACTTTAAACCATCAACCTGGCGTCTCTGTTGCTCCAGATTGTAATAAATAGTATAGTTAATGTACATAGGACACCCTTTAACCCACCATACTATATTAAATATATTAAATGACAATTCTGGGACCCTTATGGCAGGTTAAAGGTTAAATATGACTTGATCTATAAAGGTCAAGGTCATCTACATAAGTGACCTCTATAGGCCAATTTAAACATTAATAACACCTCGTTATTTGCTTAGAGCAGAAACAGTCTCTGCTTTGATGAAATAATACATTCTGTCATTATACATACTGTATACAAGGTACACAGCCCATAAAAAAACAATAACTGAAATTTGAACAAAATGGATGATACTTTGCATCAAAATAATAAATAAACAAAAAGTCCTTTCATTAATTTCTTTGTACATATTAATAAAACATAACACTTTGTCCATTTATTTAACATTTACAAAAAATATGTGACCTTGTAAGTGCTTTCCTAAATCAGAGGCTAGAATATTACTGGTTTCCTCTGGTTACCAGGGTACATTTCACAGGTAAACAGGAATTAATGTCTTTGATTGCCATTATAACAATAAAATAAAGTATTTAATGCATTCACTTAATCCCAGACAGATGGATTCCTCTTTTTAAACTAATATAAGTGTTGGTGTAAAAAAATGTCCACAAAATACGAAAATAGGCAACCCTAAAATACACACATGTGTTAATCAACTTTGGAAATTCTCTAAAAGTTGCAATCACTATCTGTAAAACAACCCAAAAATAAGTGTATGTTAGGCCTACAGATTATATGACCATGTAATCCATATTGAAGTCCATATTGAATATAATATTCCCTAGAAATGAAAAGTTCAATTGGGGGGAGGGGCAAGTCTAGGAATTTTGTTGGAATTACAGTAATACATAATAATAGAAAAAAACATAGGCTTTTCGAAACTATAAATATTCAACTTAATAACCCCCCCCCACCAAATTTTCAAACAAACAATGGGTGAGAAACCGCATTCAATCATATTGCACAGCATTCTTCAGTTTCTATAGTAACTTAATAGTGGACAACTGTCCCCAAGGTGATATTTAAATTTCATTTAGTATATATCCAACTTTCATTTTACACTACATTTTTAAATGTTGATTTTTTCCATTTTATTTGTTAAGTTTCATAAACTTCATCATATTTCTTCATAATCATATGTCACAAGTTACTGCAAAAAATCTTATTCAAAATTCCATCAAATGAAATGTATTTGAAGATTTTCCACTGAGAAAATCAATAGACAAACATGCATTGTTTTATATCAAGCTCGATTTACACACATGCTTCTTATATCAGTGTTGTTGCAACTAGTTACCATGGCTCCCATATTATCTTTTATGGTGGTGACCATAGTAACATGTCCCATCCAGTAATCATTACAGGGTGATATCAAATATTAACAGCAGCAATATCAATATTCAGTTTCACCCTGTACAGAAACCTATGAAAACCTTTTACTCAATTCAAATTGCTTTATTAACAGCAATGTTTACATTCAGTTACCATAGCAACCAAGTATCTCTGATGACAAAGACAGTTGCCATGACAACTGTCTCCATGATTACCCCGACAACAATGAATGACAACAGCTTCAGCAGCGTACATTTTAGAAGAAACCTTCATTCCAACTGCCAACAGCACCATCTTTATGCAAATATATAATTACAAATCTGATAGACACGTTTCCAACATTAACATACTTTGGTATCATTCATCTATTTCATACACAATTCACTTATTGTGTTTTCGATACAAAACTGAATGTAACTCCTCATTAGAGAATAATTCAGTTTCTTGAACTATTTCAACTATTTCCACTGTAAGTTAATTAAGTTAAAGATGCCTTAATCTTGGTCATCATTGACCTTGTCATCCATTTCCATAGCTTCTAGATCCCCAGTAGGTTGCTGTTTACTAGTGTTTGATTTAGCAGTTTCTAGATTCTCAGGTCCTGGTTCATCAGGATCTTGTTTATCATTGTTAATATCTTGCATGGAGTCTTCCACTTTTCTAGATATAAAATCCGACAGAGATGAGAGAGGTGGGGCATCTATAAATGACTCGCCTTTCGGTCGAGATGAATCTGACTTCCGATGAGAGTCCGATTTTCTTGAAGATGATTTATGACGTGATCCTGATTTAGGATCTGCATGTGACTTTGAGCTACTTTTAGAGTTATGCACTGGGTATGAGGATGATGATGACGATGGCGATGATTTGTCTTTTTTGAGATCTGACTTTCGAACGGAAAGGTCCTGAGGTATGGATAGGTCTTCTGGTTGATCAGCCAACTTCTTGGACAGATCTTGTACTTTCATCGTGTCCTGCATAAGCAGGTCCACCGTTCTACTACTTTTCTTCATCGATAAATCCTGCGCAAATTCCTGACTAGTTGCCACTGAGGAGGGTTTAGGCTCATCATCATCTGAGTCTTTAACACCATTAGAGAGTCCTGTGGTTGCTCCTGATGGGGGCTTCGCTAGAGATGCGAATGATGTAGGGAGGTTGGTAGGCAAAGAGAAACCAGCCATGCTTTGAGCAAGTAACGGATTATAGAATAGTGGGTTATATAGGAAGGGGAATGCTGCAGCTGCCTGAGATGCGGCCGCAGCTGCAGACGCAGATGCACTCGGACTTTTTCTTCCGCTTGGAGACTTTGAGCCTCCTGGTTTGGGAGATTTAGATTTACTTTCACCAGAATGACTTTTTCGTTTGTGTTCTTTGGTGCTTGATGATGATGATGACGACGACTCCCTAGGTGGAGTTGGGAAGTCTAAAGTCATCCCGGGCAGTCCAAATCCCGGGATGCTAAACAATGGATTAGTCATTGATGGGATAGTTCCAAACGGCATACCCAAGCTGCCCATTTTACCAAGGTTGCCTAGCAACCCTGCACTGGCCAATCCTGTGAGGGCACTCATTGACGAGGCAGAGGGATACACTTCTGAGAGTATTGATGATGGGATGGAATGCTGGGAAATACGCTTTGTCCGACGGTCAGTCGGAATTGGCACCCTGGTTTTTAGAAGCTCTTTGCTAAGCTTGCCCTGAAAGAATAAAACAAGACATTACATAAATGATAAATAAATGTTACATGCTCATAAAACACAATCGTGATTTTTCAGTTACAAAAACAAAAGAAAAATATTGAAGAGTCATAATTTTTTGATTCCACACACAAAATTTCATAACAAATGACAACAAGGCATTAACATACAAAATGTCACCACCTGCCATTTGTTACAGACGCCGAACTAGGAACACCAAATCATATTCCCGAAAAAGTTGGAGACTTTAACAATATGTCTTTACTTGTGGTGGTGACATAATAAAGAGCATATATTTTGTCATTGTGAAAACACTATAGCGACCAGATTTGGCATTCACGATCATAAAGTGCAAACCATAAATTAAATATCATTTCAGCAATGCTCTAAAGGAAGTGAAAAATTTATTGCCCATTCTTCAATATCCACTCGAGAGAGTCCAACTAAATAAAGATTTTTTCTAAATGGTTTACCTTCTCCCTGACTATGTTAGCCCACTTGTAGTCCACGTCCCAGCCTGGGTTCTTATCTAGCCACTCTCCCAAGTGCCTGAGAGGTGGTGCCTTAGCCCCAGTGATCTATAATACAATGTAACAAACATAACTACATGGTACAAAGGAGAAACAATACAATGAACAAATGATAACTCCATGATACAATGTAGAAACAATACAATGAACAAACGATAACTACATGATACAATGAAGAAACAATACAATGTAACAAATGATAACTACATGATACAATGTGGGAACAATACAATGAACAAACGATAACTACATGATACAATGAAGAAACAATACAATGTAACAAATGATAACTACATGATACAATGTGGGAACAATACAATGAACAAACGATAACTACATGATACAATGAAGAAACAATACAATGTAACAAATGATAACTACATGATACAATGTGGGAACAATACAATGTAACAAACGATAACTACATGATACAATGTAGAAACAATACAATGTTACAAACGATAACTACATGATACAATGTAGAAACAATACAATGTAACAAACGATAACTACATGATCATAATACAATGTAGAAACAATACAATGAACAAACTGATCACAATACAAGTGTGTCCAAAGGGTGCAATAACAAGAGACACAGTGATAAATATCGATCACCTTTTTATCGAAAAATGATTAATTAAAAACAACAGACTGATTTCACATCATATATATCTCATGTATACAACCAGCCAACATCAAGTGAAATGAATTTTGTAACAAAGCAAGCCACGAGAAATCAAAGAGCATGCCTAATAAATAAAAACATCAGTAATATTATACCTTCTTCCCAGTGTCCCTATGTATGACAGAGACATTTTCTTCCCCAGTGACTGTCTTAACATCAAGTTTTGTCGGGTCTAATCTTGGCCTTCGTCGCCTTCTCCTATCGATTAAGAAATCCTGAAATTGCAAAAATAACTTTTATTGACAGTCGCAATTCATAGTCTCTTGTGATCAATGACATACTCCTTTTCAAGATCACCCAGAGGTCAGATTTCAAAACTGAAAGCATATTTGGATAAGGGGCTTCTTTATATTTGCGAAGAATCAGGATGAAATTCATAGTTTTCAAATTTTAGCCCACTGGGGTGCCCCATTTTGCATAACCTCACAAGAATTGAAGCAACTTGCCACTTTCTTGAAATTCCATTTAAACCCAGAAGAGAATCATATCAGTGTTCTCTACAGGATCTTTTCTTAAGTGGGTGTAATTCTCATTATCACAATTCAGACCAAAATTGGCCAAATATGCCCTTTTTCATATATATTTTCTCATTTTCAAGTGGGTGCAAATGGATTTTCAGGTGGATGCAAGCCTGTTTTTGAAATCTCAGGTGGATGCTGCACCCACTTGCTTTAATGCTAGGGAGATCACTGCATCTGATATATTTTTATTATATTATGAGGCAAGCAATATTCATATGCCATCCATTTAACATCCTAATTGTGACCTGCAATTTATATTTTAACTGGTCAAGTTCATTCCCAGTTAGGCACTGTCGCCACAGTGCCCATTATCATGGGGCTGCCAGTTCAAGAGCCGTGCGCTCCTTGCGTGTATTCATTTACAATATGTACAATGTTCAGAGATATGAACCTACCTCTTCCACCTGATCTGGTTTGTCAACCATGTACCCTGGATGTTCATCTAGCCACTGATCTAGGTCCTTCCTCATAGGAGCCTCTTCTCCTGATAGTCTACTGCCATCCTCTAGGCTGATCACGGGAATATGCTCCTCTAAGATACCTCGTAGTCTGTCCTCTACAATATTTATAATACTTGTTTTAACATTTGATTTCATCAATTTTAATGCAGCACTTTTTGAAAGTGCGATAAAAAACATTTTAGTTAACAATGTAAAGTATAAAGATCGTCATACTGCAGTTATCGAAATTTCAAGTCCCTACAGTTCCATATTTCTGCATAAAAGTTCCCTCTAGATCATTGCTTTTCCCACATTTTTACAACTAATAAGTTTGCAGCATAACCCAACATACCCGAGTCTAGGGCTGAAACAAGATTCTGGTGGGTGGCCTGCTGGGTAGCCTCTCGCAATGCATTCTGGACATGCATCTCAGCCTCCTTTGTCTCAGCTAGATGTTCAGCGAGGCGGTCAATTGTACGTTTCCTACCACGTTTCTTCTTTTCCGGCTCTCTCTGTGTATGAACAAAGAAAATTCAATTTCATACGAAATATATGTTTGGTTTAAAATATCAAGCCACCTTGAAAAATATGTTGATTCATTCCACTGTTATAATTCAAATCTGTTTACACTTTCAGCTGGGCTTTGAGTATACACACAAGCACCATTCAACTTTTAAAAATTTATATTTTGGATATCATGTTACTTTTTAAATAAAAAATACAGATAATACATACATGTATAGATAATCTAAAATTTCTCAGTTTACACATATCAACATTTTTCCTCACCCCTAATATATTTGGACGAGGGGTCCCTTTCCCGCTGGCAGCATCATCAGAGTCGAGCTGGAATGGCTTGCAGTCTAAAGAGGCTCCCCCGTTAACGAGGGCGTCACTGTAGATCCCAGAGAGATTTGATTCACTTCCACTCTCACCCTCAGTATTTGAAAGTCCCATGTTAGCACCAAGCATTTCTCGCAGACGCAACGCTGGTAAATAAACAATATAATTAATTTAAAGTATGAATCACAAACCATTAAAAAGTTTTCATCACAGATCATTTTGTGGCTGTTGAGCATATATCCAAATTTTAGTTTTTTCTCAATTATTTCGCTTGTTTAATTTTTGTACAATCAAAGAGTGCAAAATATTCACCTCTTTCAGCCTCAATTTCAGTTTTCTTCCGTCTGCCTGGCTTTCTCTTCTGGAAAGTTAGCTTCAGTCCATCACTCTGTGGCAATAAAATTACAACAATAAAACACAATGTCCATAGGAATAATCTACTCCAGTGATTTGTGTCCCTAGAATCAATATTTTTGCAGCAATATTTTGATAATAAATTCAAACATAGATTAAAAGTATTCAAATTCTTCACTCATCGAAAAACACTGAGAAGTAAAGATGTATGTAAATGGATATGAAAAATGAATTTCTTAAAACTGAATCCATCCTTTACATGCTTTATCATCAGATATGATAGAAACTTCTCTAATATAAGTAAAGGTTGCCTTTTGAGAGACACATTTATTGTGCTGGTATTCAGAGTGCATAGGATTGTTCGAAATTTATAAAACATGACAATATTACAAAAGTATGAAACGTTTCAAGTACAGTATTCAAGTTGTATCAAAAATAAAGAAGTATCAACTGAAATCAAGGGGAATCTATAGGAATCTATACAAAATCTGTTATACATAAGGATTACTACATTAACTAGTAACAATAACAAAAGAGGATAGTTAAAATGTTAGAGTTAGTATAATTTAATAAACAGAAAATCTAGAAGCTTCATTAGTTCAGTCTAGAAACATATTGTAAACTTATGAAATAATTCATGTACCTAAATATACATGGGATACAATGTATAATGACTACCAACTTAGGATTTTTACTTAATTAAAAATTATAAAGCCCTATAAACTATATTAATCAACTATAAACTATATTGAATTAGTGGACTATAAACTACATAGGTGAGTAACAGGTAAGTAATGGAAGTAAGTCAGTTTGATTAGTATTTTACAAGGTAAGTAAACTAACATAAAACTGAAATGTGAAGTAAAACTCTCAAAAATCTTGGAAAAACAGCAGAAAATATTTCTCATCAACCTGGTTGTGAAATTAAAATGTGAAACCTTGTAACATAAAAGTTGAAAGATATTTTTGATCTAAACTGGTGTAACGGCTGCTGTGATTAGTTATTCAGACCATACCACAGATATCTCTAAATCATAAGTCACCCATTTACATAAACTTAAGATCAAATTTTTCTCCATATATTTTCATACTTCTCATAAATTCTGAGAACCCAAATTACCTTGTGATAAATGGTCAAAACTGAATCCAGCAAAAACTTCACATTTCAACCCACCCCCCTCCCCTCTAACACATGCACCCTCACCTTAGCGGAGTAAAGACCAACGTCTTTGTCCCCGTAAATCACCTTATGCATAGACTCAGGGGTCTCTGGTATCCCATAATCCCCTAGTGGAGTTGCAGGTTTTGGCGTAGAGGAAGGCGTCAAGTTAGGGGTGTTACTTCGCGAGTCGCCTCTGATTGGTTGGAAAGTACGTCGCATTGGCCATTCACCTTTCTCGATGCAATAGCAAACATCATCCAAACGGTGGTATACTGTTCGGTCCTGTAACATTATGATCCATTTGATTTAATGAAATAACCAATAGAGACATTCAGAAGTAAGGTCCTTACCAATTGTGGGATGACATTTGTAACCATCTGCACATGACACGATTAAACAGGCATGTAAACATTCCTAAAAATTGATATTGAAGATACATGTTGCTTGTTCTACTCAGTAAAGCTTTATGTGAACAAGTAACAATAGGAGTTGTGATTTGCTATTTCTGTATTGTAATGCAACATAGGATTCAACCGAAAAGCTACTTCAGCCTGTTGATTATATTCTCTGAACAAAACTCACACACAGGGTGCTCTTTATCTTAGAAGCCTTGGTTCTGAGTATTGGGATTACATTAGTCATGTACATTCATAGCTAGGGGTTTACATACCTTGGGCCACTGGAAGGAGACGAAAGATTGTTGAGCTTTGAACTCAGCCACCATAGGGTCATAATTGCCGTATTGATCATACATTCCGTCATCACTCCGCGCTGGCGTTGAATTACCCGTCATACTGAACTTGAAATCCTCAGATTTTATTTCTACAATTTCATCCTCAGTCTGTGGGGCATCGAAATATCGAATCTCTTCTTCTTTAATGGCTTCAGCCTTTAAATCCAATTCTGATTTGATATCTTCTTCAGATTTGATATCGCGTTCAGTTTTTACACCCTCTGTTTGTTCACCATTTTCAGATTTAATTCCATCTTTTTCAGTTTTAATCTCTGTTTTCATATCAATTGATTTTTTATCGGTTGATTCATCTTCACAGTCCATCTTTTCAGTCTCCTCGGGTTCATCCTTAACTTCAGATTTAACTTTTGATGGTGATTCCGAGTCGGATGTTTCACCATCCGAGTTTTCAGTTTTTATTGCCTTATCCTCAGTTTTTAAAGCTGATTTGTCAGTTTTGGTTTCCGATTGTGTATCACAAGACTCTGATTGTGTATCACAAGATTCTTGTTTTGTATCACAGTTGCTGGGTGTGGTTGGACCGTTGGGAGATGTTGTTTTTGATTGCTCTTCTGCTTTAAGTTTAGCTGCCTCTGGAAAGAGAATGCAAAATACATTTATAGTCATGTCCTGCAGTCCACTGTTATCCCCATTTAATCTATAGTCTTCTTTTTTATCCATTTTCATAATACCAATTACCAATAAAAACAAGGCATTAACATGCAAAGTGGTACCACCCTCCATTTGCAACAGACCATGCCGAACTGCCAGCAACTGCCATCCCCAAAAAGTTGGAGAACAATCTGTTGGTGGCAAGTGAACATATTTGGCACTATGTTTAGAACTGGGATTCAGGTGGCCATTTCTTATGTGCAAAGATTTCTGATAAATTTTTTAAAAGTAAATTGAATCATGAATATTAAAAAGTTTATATGGCTAACCTTCTAATGTTTCTTCTTTCTCCTTACGTTTTGCAGATAGGATTTCCCTGAAGACTAGCTTGGGATCATGAAGTATATGATAGTCAGTCCTAGATAAACCATGTCTGAAATACAAAATGAAAACATGTAATCCTGGTACTATTGGTTAGTTCAATAATCTTGCCAACGCTACAATGAACTTAGATTGTTAAAACACGAACGCAACTTTCTGCTGTCGGTCACAGGATTAACTTACTATTATATGACCAACTCATTTAAATATGAAGAGTATCTGCCACTTTTCCATAAAAGGTAGATTAATCCAGTAGCTGACAGCCGAAAGTAGCATTCGCGAATACAAGCTTAGACACACCACCAAATTGAATCAGTGGCTGTTCCACTGCCCTAGATGAGGAATAATTCATGCAAAAAGTTGTATGTTTATCAAGTGTGTATGGTGGTACTTACTTATCTTATTTAATGCCAATGCATTGCTGGTTAGTTGTAACATTTTAAACTTTAACAGTCAACCTCTGTAGAGGTCGATAATTGTATGTTATATACTCACTTTGCAGCACCAATTAGGAGATCTTTGTCATGGACCCCACACACCCACCAATCTGGAAGTTCAGAATTGGGTTGGACGAATTTTAAGCGTTCATCGAGTTTTGGATGCCATAGGATCTCATCTCGAATCTTGTTGAGCAAATCTATTCTTTGGAGACACCGTGCCGCTCGTTCTTCAGAGATTGGTTCCACATAGATAGGGACAGGTGGCAGCACTGTAAAGAAATGTATTACGACATCACAAGGAGGTGAAGAATGACAATAATCTTTTGACTTTCCTTTTTTTAGAGTCCAATTTTAAACATAATGTCTGATAAGTAAGAACAGCACACAGTACTGAATACAGGAGAGTGAGCCAAAATCTTAAATAACAAAATAGATTATAGGACTTTTTCAAAGTGCAATAAAAAATTACAGAAAAGTAAAACTGTCATCACTATACCTTCAGGTCCAATTTTGCGGCAAACTTTTTGGCACATGTGATAAAAGGCGAGAAAATATTCCGTCAGTGTGTCATCATATTTTTTATCCAAACGAGCAAACTGCCGGAAAGTATCCCACTTATATCGGCCAGTTTCACAGTCAAATTCAACTCCAAAGGTCGACACAACACGATAAAAATCAGCTTCTTCACGCCGTGACCATCGAGTTTGTCTAGCGTCTAATTTGATTTTTTCTCGCTCATTTAACACTGCATTTCTCCTCTCATGACGCATTAGTCGCTTCTCATCTTTAGCCAATCGGAGCTGCTCTTTCTTATGGTTTCTTTGGTAGCCTGTGATTAGTCGTCGGAATCTTGTGTTAAGTTCAGAAGGGCCTGGGAACATCAGGTAGTTCTCATTGCTATTCTGTTGGAGAGCTGCAATGAAGAGTATTAAATTAAGTACAATGTCAAGGGTAATTTTTGAACAGATGGATTAATTATCAAACAATGAAGTAAATATTTAGAAAAAGTTTGAGCCATTAAATTAAGGGCTTGAGCTAAGGGCAGGTCTTCTGGTCATTTGCCAGGTTACTTTTGATACGGACCAGTTGATTTTTTCACTAGGTATAGGAAACTACCAAGGCAACAGGTCCATAAAGCCATGTTGACCAGAACCCTAGCTCAACCTCTGATCAGGCTTGGATCTTTAATTTAGTCATCCACTAGGGATAACACAAGACCAAAGACATTGTCTAAGACTAAATCTTTACAGAGCAGTGAATACCTTCAGGGCCTGTCATTGGCTGGAGCAAGGGAGGACCCTCAGAGGAGGGACTTGCAGGAGAATCATCATCGAACATGTCACTCTTGAACAGTCTCGTTGCATTGATTGGTTTGAACTCTGGGTCACTGGGGTCTTCCCTGAAAATCAGAAAATATTCTTGAACTTCTATTTTCATTTCCATATAAGGAGGGGTTCAGCTCGGAAACATTGCTGAAACTGGATGCTACACCAAACTTTGAAATTGAAAATCATCATGCATTTAAGTTGTGAATATCAAAAATGAAGAATAACTTTTCGATCATTTCTTCAGCTGAGAAAGACCTGGGAAAACAGTGACAACATTACTGGACACAATTGATGCTAATGTGTTCTAATTAGCTTGGAATCATGTCTGTTCTACTTTGATTTCTTCCGACAAGTTAAGTATTTCAGAAACAACTTACCCTTCATTGTCACTCTGGTCGGCCTGCTCCTTCACAAGGGCTTTTTGATCAGGTGGTCCACATCTCCGTAGGAAGCAGAGACACGGGTCATTACGCATGGAGTTGTACTTCTCATAGCCTAAAACAAACAATCCAGTTGATATAGTGATACACATTATAAAAGATGGGAATATATTATACACGAAACAGAGATACATGGGTTATTGCACATAGAGTTGTACTTCTAATAGCCTATTAAACAAATTATCCAGTCATATACCCTAATGATGTAAGTTAAAGACACACATCAATGTGGTTTATACTTTCACTTCAAGTCTTTTTCATAATGAAATGTAACCATTTTTGATTGAGGGTGACCACATTGAACTAAGAAACAAAGACATGGTAAGAGAGCATAAGAATGATATTTTGGACAATATATATCGACTTTTGCATTTGCAATTTTTTTATATTTTAAACACCAGAAGTAAGTAAAAAAAATCTATAAACATAATGAATGTTCAACTCGACAAGAATACACCAAATATAATATTTACCATATTTGAAGACGCCCATGAGGAGCGACTGATCTGCTTCACGATCCCACCAGAGGGCAGGAGGATCACCATCTGCTGGTGGTGGGTGAATCGGCAACTCACTATAACAAAAAGTTATGCATTAACTATAACAACAGAGATGAGTCACAAACAGATTGACTGAGTGAGAAAATTGACAAGTTAGAAATTGTAAGATGAAAATGTTGTTCACTGGAGTATGTTTACATAACTCGGAAATACATGCACCGGTTGCAGACTAACCTTGCCAATGCATGCGCAAATATCCTGTCTGCCTCTTTTCCAATCACCTCAGTCTTTAAGTAGTACAACAAACGCACCCTTAGTAGCACCTGGATGAAAATATCACCATGGTTATTTACCAACAACAATGAGGTACACAAAAGTTCTTCCATCGTTCCACAAACATGAAAGATATATCATTTCAAAACACTAGGCAATGGGCAATCAAGATTCTGATTTCAAAACTTTTCAAGATAATATATATATATTATACACAGGGTCAATTAAGGATTTAATGAAAAAATGCTGTAACTATTTTGCTCAATAATATCAAATTATGCAAATTCTTGATTCAAGAAATTTTTCATTCCGACTCAAAAATGTTATCTTTCCTTTTTTCTAACTTCAAATGGCAGAGTTATTCCATCCAAGTTTCTCAAACCAATCAAAGGCCCATAAGATGTGTAATACCAAATGCATTAACCAAATTCCAATAGGTAATGTAATACCTTATTGGAGTGCCTATTCAGGTGTTTCTTATATCCATCATCTCGTAAGATTTTCTCGCAATCCAGATCAAAGCTTGAGAGGTCAAGTTGCTCTGACATTGGCTCTTCCTTCTTCAACTTCTTGCCCTTGCGGCCCCTTGGCACAGGAGCAGATAAACCTGAAAGAGGGGATCATAAAAACTGTCTCAGATAATGAACTCATGAACAAGGATAATGATAACATTTGAACATTTATGGGTGAATAAATGCAAGGACCTCACACATCTCGAACTCACAACAATATGGTTCAGTGACAGCGCCTAGCTTAGCATATTTAGTGTTATAGACAATTTTAGAGCAACAAAAATGTTACATGGGGGCCAGGGGAATCTATTTTTGGTAAGATCGTAACTTCCAATATCTATCGGTATGTTGAGGTCTCGTTAATGGCTGTGTATTTTGGATCCAAAAATCTTAACATGGTTGGGATGTCCTTTTTTGTTCAACGTTTTTACTGAAGGACAAGTTGAGATATATATATAAGAAATAAATCTATGTGTGGGTGACATACCTGAATGATTCTTCAGACTGGAGCCATCTGCTGAGGGAGTGATCAGATCAAGGATGAAACTCTTGATGCGATCATCGCCCGCATAATGCTTTAAACTGTACATCAACTGAAATAACAACAACAAAAACACTTATTGGTGAATTTTAATTTAGCATAACTTTAAAGTTACCCAGGGATATTTTTTCAACTCAGTGCTTTATTCTCATCTTAATTATTCTTAGACTGAAATGTTGCAAACTGGTCCAAATTTCAATTTTTTCATGATTTTCTCAAATGGTTGAAAATGGATTATGTGCGCTATAAAATTAAAATTCTCAACTAGAATAACTGGAATAAATATTTATTTCTACTGAGAACTGGATTCTACTTGAGGCTACTACACCAGGGCAACTGCATCCTATAGTTTAAAACCACACTTTTAGGAAATCAACTTACGATGGAGCGGGCCAAAGTTTCCACATCCTGGTTTCCCAGCTTGCGTTTAAAGCGCCCGTGTAAGAGGATATCTTCCCAGCGTGACCAGCCATAAATCAGCAACATCTTCTCAACTTTAAAGCACTCTTTTCGGGAGTAAATACCATGTTGGACGATCTCTCCAATGTTGAAATCATCATCGCGATGTTTCTTGTTGCGTCGTGGTCTCCCAGGCTTACGTTTCACATTCGCTTGAGAGTCTGTGTCTTCAGAGTCTGAATTTGAGCTTGAAAGTCCAGACATGTCATCCATTGCATTCTGGTTGCCATAGCGAGCAGTCTGCTTGCGTCGACGTGGCTCTTCGATAATTAGTTCATTCTGGAGCGAAAATTGAGATTATGTTAACCTATTGGTCTACCTGATTAAGAATTATCCAAAATTGGTGAGATGTTTTTTTTTGATAACCACTCAACTGAGTGCAAGGTAGTCCAGAAATGGAAAATAAACAAAATATAAGCATGAAATATTGTAAAGACTAAACATTACAAAATATTCAAATCATTTTTAGCTAAAGCAGATTTGACAATCTTACCACCTCTCAAATCAAAATGGTGAAAATGGCACATCAAAAAATCGGTGTAAATTGAACCAACTTAGGCCCATACCAAATATAGTCTCTCCTCCATTTATTCATACAGACATAATGACAATTTTTCCTTCATGGTTTACATTAAGGCCACAGAGAAGGCGGAGTATACCCACTGGAGGACCATAAAGTATTTCCCACAATCCCCTGACTGCACTTACCTTATTAAGCATTGATTCACTGTCCAGGTCTGCCTTCTTTGCCCATTTCTGCCAGAAGTTAGGATCATTGATGTCTATGTCTGACCTGTTGTTGCTCACACTAAAACTGGCCTGAAACAGACATTATACAAAATGCTTGATTATTATAAATACAGGCAAGGCATTAACATACAAAATGTCACCACCTCCCATTTGTTACAGACAGACAACCAAATACCAACAACTGAACATCATCAACAAAAAAGTTGGAGACTATAACAATATTTTTGGTGGTGACATAATGAACTAAACCAGAACAACGGCAACGCCAAAGCGTAGCGAATCCCATCGAACAGAAATGGCTGGCATTTTTACAAACGAAGCGCAAATATCATAAAACAACACACCAGAAAGGCCACCATTTTCAAAATGGTTGCTCACTAGCCAAGTTTTCATCAGAAGAAATAATATGCTTTTAAGTAGCCACCTCTAAAATTTTTGAAAAATCGCACACGTACTTGTAAAATAACACACATAAAAATGGTGGCCATTTTTCAAAATGGGCGACTACTCCCCAAAGTTTTATTAGACAATGTGCCATGCTTAAAGTATTCACATATCAAATATGAACAAAGTCGCTCCACTACTTTTCGAGTTATAGTAAAATACGTTAAAATGGCGGCCATTTTTCAAAATGGCCACCTTCTACCAAAAGCGTCATTAGAAATAGACAGTGTGCCATGCTTATAGTATTCACATACCAAATATGAACAAAATCGCTCCACTACTTTTCGAGTTATAGTAAAATACGTTAAAATGAGGGCCATTTTTCAAATTTTTTTTCAAAATGGCCGCCTTCTACCAAAAGTGTCATAGGACAGTGTGCCATGCTTATAGTATTCACATACCAAATATGAACAAAATCGCTCCACTACTTTTCGAGTTATAGTAAAATATGTTAAAATGGCGGCCATTTTTCAAAAATTTTTTCAAAATGGCCGCCTTCTACCAAAAGTGTCATAGCACAGTGTGCCATGCTTATAGTATTCACATACCAAATATGAACAAAATCGCTCCACTACTTTTCGGGTTATAGTAAAATACGTTAAAATGCGGCCATTTTTCAAAATGGCCGCCTTCTACCAAAAATGTCTTTAGACACTGTGCAATGCTTATAGTATTCACATACCAAATATGAACAAAATCGCTCCACTACTTTTTGAGTTACAGCAAAAATCGTAAAATGACGAGTAAAGGCTGCCATTTTTCAAGATGGCTGCCATGTGCTTCTTTAATATCTACATTTGTAGCATTATTAATGTCCTTTATAATTCTTTTACATTTAGAACATATTGCTATTACAGTTTTACTTATTGCACCTAAATTACCGTAAAATCGTCACTAAAATGGCCGCCATTTTGAAATGAGTGGCCATTTTGAAAATCGGCTTTCGAGCAGAACTTTTACCCACATAGGGTATATGTGTACAAAATATGAACAAAATCAGGCCAACGGTATTTGAGTTATTGCCCAGACGGACGGACGGAGGCGTTCCCTATATCCCTCCGAACTTCATTCGATGGGATAATAATTAAAATGAATTGTAGGGCTGAGTTTCACTGGGGGTGTGATTTTACTGGGTTTTAGTTTTACTAGGTTAAGTTGACTAACACCCCAGTCACATTTGTCGTACGGAGGCCATGCGTCGACCGCAGATCGATTAAATCAGTGTATTTCTGCGGCGCCTTGCGGCCTCCGTACGGCGTATCCAGTTTTTACAGGCCGCAGGGTCGCCGTAGAAATTATAACTTGGAGTTATAATATTTGTTCATTTCTGAGATCCCCGTAGATATCAACTGGCTCAACAAGATTGAATCATTATTTGTCAATGTTTCACGATCTCTTTTCATTTGATATTACATCCTAGCACTATGAATAACATTTATAAAGTGTCCCGATGTAAATAAAATGAAAAAAGTATTATTTATCAACAGAATTTTAAAATTCACCGTGCGGCTGCCGTCGGAAATGTGACTGCAAAAGTATGAGAGTGCAGAAATTCCACGGCGAGCGTAGAAATGTTACTGGTCGCAGAAATGATAGACCGCAAGGTCGCCGTAGGAAATGTGACTGGGGTGTTAAGGTTAAGGTGACCTGTCATAATATAAACATACCTGGCCATTTAAACTTGACAGGCTGTCACATAAACATCACTTATTGTCACATACATCTGTTACACATAAATATCACAAAACACATTACCTTGGCAAACGTTGATCCTTTGCCTTCAGATTCAATCTGGATGACTTGGGTACGTCTTTGCAGGATCTGGTCTATGTCCTCTTCACAGAAATCATCTCCATCTTTGTCATCTTCCATCAGAGCCCCATAAGCTCCCTTCTTTAATAGATCCTCGACTTCTTTCTTGGTCATTGCTTGTTGCTATAGAAACAGAAATGTTTTATAATAAGGTTGCTGCAGAAACACAGAAATCTTTTCTCTCTGTCATCTTCTGTGTTTTCTTTTATCAACACAATGAAAGCTGTGAAGATGAACACCTCTTTAAGTGTAACACCTCTGTAAGTGGAATAATTTTAAGTCCCAAAACCAACTGACTAATGCTAAATGAACCTCTGTAAATGGAACACCTCCCCAGTCAGGGGTTTCATTAGCGGCAGGCAACAAGCGATTTTCATGAGTTGATTTCACAAAATCGCCTGGTGCTTTTAAGGACTTTTCAATTAATTTTAAACTTTCCATTAATTATGCCTGTTCTTTTCATTTATTTAGCCTGTTGTGAGAACTCCTGCAAGTGGAACACCTTTTAGAGGTAGCAAAGTATTGCACTTAACTGTACTGTACATCAAAACAAATAAAATTGAACTTACTTCTCTAACGCCTCCACCCTCCTTGGATGACCCTAGGCCGGACTGGAGCACAGCTTTGTCCAAACCTAGCTTCATAGAGGCTTTATCGAACATCTCACGCTCGTAAGTGTTACGCGTTATCAACCGGTAGATCTTCACAGCTTTCTTTTGACCAATCCTGTGACATCTGGCTTGAGCCTGTATTGTGAGAGAAACATGTATTATAAAGACGCAACAATGTATCACATGCATTCCTAGTGATTATGACTAAAAGTGCATTCACTGGAAGACTCAATATATTAACCTCTTGAATCCTAGGCCCTAAAATCGGTTGAAACCAGAGAATTTTTCATTTTGACCACCTTTTGACATTTTACTACATACCTATACATTAGATGCTCAACTTTACAGCTTTTAGACGGCAGAGATCATTTCTACACATTTTAAAATAATTTTTGTGTAAACTGGATAAAAAATGTTTGTATAAGAGCAATTTTAGTGAAAAATTTGGTGACAGATTTTCTTGTCACTCTGGGTTTCAAGGTCATTTATGAGGTGACGAGAAATCTCGTCACTCCAGGTAGTCAAGAGCTTAATGTGAAAATATTTTTTAATTTAACAGAAGTCTCCATTTATTAATGTGGCAATAATTTTCATATTCTTCTGCTGGATTCTAAATGGGTCAATCTGAAGCCTTTAACCTTTGTTTTAGAGGCTCAACGGATCGTTGCTTCACCCAAACCTACACATACTGTAAACACAGATTTTCTGTCTATGCTCATTTATTTCAAATATGACGTCACTTACTTGGAGATCATTCTGTGGGTTCCAGTCAGAATCAAAGATGATAACAGTGTCCGCTGCAGTCAGGTTGATACCGAGACCCCCAGCTCTTGTACACAGCAGAAACACAAACCTATCTGAGTCTGGAACATATCCGTACGAGGGTTGTTCAATGAATATGAATACAAATGCTTGTGTGCACATTTTATAGCATGTGAAAATGGACAACATGAATGGGTTCTGGATACCAAGAATAACATGTACACCCCAAACTGCTTTTTCTTTTAATTGTTTGCAGACACCTGCTTTCTACCACTCAATGTATATCAGCGAGTGCAGTATAACATTTTCCATGACAAATCACAAATTATTTTTACCTGGCTTGCTAAATCTATCAATAGCTTCCTGTCTGACATTTCCACGAATCCTTCCGTCAAGTCTTTCGTAGATATAACTGGAAATGCAAATCATGTTTTAGCTGAGTGATGAAAATTGAATAATTGTTTATTTAAATTTTCTACATTAACTTTTTAGGATATTTGGGGACAGTATAGTGAAATAATATTTTAGATTTATAGCTATTAATGAACAAGTTGAGAGAATCAAGTTCTTCATATCTTCAAGTTTAACAGTTCTGTATATCAATGAATGAATCAGTCATTGGATATTTACCAAATAATTAGGCACTAATGTCTTAACTTTTTTAATGCATGGCACAAAGCTTTATGCCTGGGTCACATATGCTCTGATTCATCGGCCGGCGCCTTGCCGATTGAGTGTTTTGTTCAATATTGTTTTCAATCGGCCGGGCGCCGTTGTGAAAATCGGAGCATATGTGACCAAGGCATTACATTTGTGTTTCGACCTGTTAATAATGTGGTCTCGGTCAGGTGCTTACTTCTTATGCATGAGGTAGTCTTCCAGTATATCCAAGACACGGATCATCTGTGAGAACACGAGGACCTTGTGTCCATTGGCCTGAAGTTTGGGTAGCAACTTGTCTATAAGAACCAGCTTTCCAGAGGCGTGAATCATTGCTTGAACCAGAGCACCAGGGTCGTTCGAATCTTTAGCTTTGGTTTCTTCTACGATTCTCTCCTCAGCACCTGTTGGACATTATTTATAGGGGTTTCATTAGTAGCAGACAATAAGATTTTTTGTAAAAATATCATTGTTCATTGAAATATTAATAAATATTTAATACATATTTTCCCTGTTTTGAATGAATCCCAAGTTATGTACTTTTTAATTTATTTGATGGATACATTTACATATTTTATCGCAAAATATATTTGCGATAAAAGCCTGTTTTGTTTTCTAAAGTATGTGAATTCTGTCTACCAGTACCTGCATGTTCATCCAAAAACTGTCCTCATCAAATATATGTTCTTGCCTTTAGATTTTTTGACATTTTCATTCATATCCTGACATGTTTAATGCAAACTGATTTCTGGTATATTCATAGTCATGACAAGCAGTTTTTATCTACAGGGACATCTGATAGGTGGCAGTTAAAATTCTTTCAATTGAAACATTGCCCAAAGAAATCTTACCCTTTATGAGATATGGGTGATTACAACATTTTCGTAACTCCATCATTGTATTCATTAAGTTTGGTGCATTCGTAGTTGTGTTGCCTTTTGACAAAAAGGTGAAGTTTCGTTCAAGAATAGCCCGATAATATTTCTTTTGGATATTCGTCAGCTCCACCTATAACACAAATATAATTTTTTTTTATCTAATTAACCTTTGCAATAATGTGATATACATGCATGTACTTTGATTTGGTTTTTATTAACTTGTCAACAGCTGATTCTAAATCCTCCTTCTAAATCACTTAATTTGAATTAACAATATACCTGGAGGAGGGGGTTCAATGATGATTCTTGAACATACAATAATTCCTGATGCATATGAAAAATCAAGAGTTTGAAAATGTTCTGGTGTAACCCATTAAATGACATCTTTTGATCAAGGTCATTTTCATGACAAGTTACATTTAATCTATTTATCATGACAAGCAACTTTACCTCTATTATGGTTTCTTCTTTGGCAGCCAGATTCTTCTCAACATCTTCTTTCAGCCTCCGTAACATCATTGGCTTCAACAGCTGGAAAACATGTCATATTCCATTTAAACATTTGAATGTCTTGAACCCTCTTACAATGAAGAGTCAAATACATTATACATCATAGACTTGGAGGTCAATGAATAAGTACATACATTGTGATTACCCCCCTAACCTCAAAATCAAACATTCATTGTTCACTTATTGAACATAGGAATATAAGTAAGTGATGCAGGGCTATAAAATGATATGGAGCTTCATCCTCACATAATAGTACTAATGTAGTTAATTGTTTCTACATTCTAATTGGAAAATATAACATCTTTTGAAGGCAGACAATGTCCTGACTCCTGAATGTGACAATGTTTATGTATGCATGTATGAGTTTACATGCATATACTGTTAAAATGTTCCAAAAATTGTGACATCGGCTGAAAAAAAACCTTTAGGGATCTCACTGCATGATTGTGTGTGCTATCTATGACCAGATATTTCAATATAGGTTACCACCTTGTTGGATCATTTCGTACATCAGCAGCATAGCATTTCTTAGTTGAAGGCAAGGTCACAGTAACATAATAAAAGTCGCAATAAAATCAAGACATTGAAAATGTGTATATGGCAGTGAAATTCCAGCAGATTCAAGGCTACAGTCTATTATAAGGGGTCCCTGTGGGTAACGTGAAAATTATCTAAGAAACATAAAATTATAAGTTATCAAAAAAATCAGTGGTTTAAGATCAGACATTCAAAAGAATGTAACACCGAGACTTGAAATTTTGTTCAAAATCAGAGCATTGCATACTGTCAAATATAAATTCATCCTATTGTTGAATGGACAAAATATCTAACAAACTCGTGAAAAACTTACAGCTTTTAGTTTATCAACTTGTTCCTCGGTGTGAAGTGTGCCAAAATCTGTTTTGAACGTCTCGGAGGATTTGAACCGCAATGGGTCCAGGAAATTGAGAAGACTGAAGAGCTCTTCAACATTGTTTTGTAGAGGTGTCCCGGTGAGAAGTACTCGATGTTCCTGAAAGAGTAATACATTTAAGTATTATTACATAGTGACCAAGTCGAGCCCAGGTTATACCTGTTATGTATGAAATTGGTATTTTCTCCAGGATTTTATTATTCTTGGCACCAAATTCCCATTTTATTTGTATTTAGAGTAAACTATCTAAAAATAACCTAAGAAGATGAGCTCCTTAAAGCCTTATTTTCTCCATTTCAAAATGAGAATATTTTTTCAAAGGCCTTTTGACAACCTCTAACAATTTTGAAAAGACCATTTCAAAGTTAGGAGAATATTTTTTTTAAAGGTATACTTACAAAATTTAAACATTTGAGTCATTTAATAAACTGACAATTCTGAAAATCTCAAAAAATGAGAGCATTTTCAAAAGTACTTACAAAATCTAAACATTTGAGTCCTTTTATTAGCTGACAGTTTTGATTCTTCAATCGATGGGCTTCATCAATAATAACGACTCTCCAATCAATACTCTTCAACAGCTCTACATCTGAGATAATAATCTCATACGTGGTAATGAGAGAGTTAAATTTATAAAGATCCTTAATTTTGGCTCCTTTGTCATCCTTATAATACATCTCGTATTCTTGTAGCATATTTCGGCTAGGTGTCGAACCGTGATATGTGATCACATTTTGTTCAGTCCATGTTTCGAATTCTCTTTGCCAGTTTGCGATGGTTGATAATGGTGCGATCACTAAGAAAGGTCCTCTAAGGCCGTTCTGCATGATTTGTTCTAGAAAAGTGATGCTTTGAATGGTTTTACCGAGTCCCATCTCGTCAGCAAGAATACAATTGTTCCTGAAAAATTCAATAAAATTATTCATCTCAATATTGAACTCCATGTACAAGTAAGAATTCATTGTTACGGACACTCCCCCCCAGTATCTATAAATAAATAATAAGAAGAGGAATTCAACCAAAAAATCAAACTCAATTCTTAAATTGTGAATAATGAAAATGGCACTGGATGCAAATTCAACTTTTTTGAGTTTTATTTCAATACACAATAACAATTTTTTCCATTCTAAGGTCTCAAACCAATAGGGGTGTATGAAACTGAAAAATTAAATTATAGAAAAAAAATTGGTGAACTCAGCTGAACTTACGCTTGGAACCAGCTGAATGTTAACCAGTTGACCCCCTCCAGTTGGTACTCCCTTAGGGTGTTGTCATTCTTGAAGACTGGTGTCTCTTTCATTGGGGTCCAGGCACTCGGCTCTGGGCGATCCCTCCTCTGCAAAAATTAACATGGTCAATTTAATGCATCTCATGAATGGCAAGACATTGAAGATTACAAACAATATCTCAATTTTTATGTCCTTAACCTTTTAAATTGTATCTCGGTCATATTATGTACATGTAGTATATTCGACCTAATTTCAATTTCTGACTTATATTACAAGACCAGTTTTCTGACCATTTAAAGGTAAAGTTACATAAATATATAATAATCTACTCATACAAACGGATTGATTTACACATAAAAAGAATCAATTTGTATATAAAAAGAATCAGTTTACACATAAATTTTAATAATAATAAAATAATAATAATAAAAAAAAAACATTATATTTTCAAGGGTACAAATCAGAAAGAAGTAATAATAAATGTGATCTTCATATTATCTCCACTTATTTTCAATATCAATGGACTGAAAGCCTGATCAGTGATCTCCCCAGGATTTTTTCTCAGGTGGGTGCAAAATTTTCATTTTCACAATTCAGACCAAAATGTGTCAAAATATGCCAATTTTTCATGATTTTTCTCATTTTCAAGTGGGTGCAATTGGATTTTCAGGTGGGTGCTGCGCTCACTTGCTTTAACGCCAGGAAGATCACTGCTGATTGATGGACAGAGGACTTCACTATATCCATAACAAACATCATACACTGGGATAATCAACAGAAATGAACAATACTGCTTTATGACCTTTATCTTAGTTTTTCACATTTCCATTTATGCCTTCGGCCATTGAATAATACCGAGCTGACATTTATTGGTCTAAAAATCACAACTGAGTGATATTTATACTTTCTCCAAGGTCAAGATAACTTATTTATGACTGTTTCTTTGAGTATTTTCTTTGGTCCAATCAGCTGGTATATTAAAGTACCCAAACTACCCAAAGCACAGCCCCACCTACCCAAAACACAAACAAGACATTAACATGCAAAATGGCATCACCTGCCATTTGTTACAGATGCTGAACACTAACTACCAGACACAAACAAAAAAGTTGAAGTCTGTTACAATATGTCACCACTTCTGATGATAACTTCATAAGCATAGAACCCACTTTATTATCCTCAACGCATAAAAACCAGAAAGCAAACATACCAAAGCCTTTTGTATAAATTGTGGACCACTCAGTCAAGCACACTGAATTCCACAATGCAATTAGCAATTCAGACCTGCTTGAAACTGGGTTCCATCCCATCATATGAAAGCTACTCTACCTCTGAACTACATGGAAAGGTGCATCCCAATAGATGGTCGAATACATAAACTGGTTGTTCTATCTTGAACACAAACTAACCTGTCTCTCCTCAATGGGTGGTGGATCACGGAACTTCTTAAATTGTTCTATCTTGATGTTATCTACATCTATGGCTAATTCCCAGGTACTGTCCTCGTAAGGCAGAGAGCACCACTTCACTAGGTAGTAGGTCAGCTGTTCACCTGGAAAGGACAAATCATATTTGTTTATAAGTGAAGCCAAGAAAACTATGTGATTGTGACTTTGGAATATGTGAATGTTGGAATATATGTGTCGACTCACTGGGTAAATAAAAGTTGAATCATTTTCTTGAGATTAAAGAAGACAAAATTCAATTTAATTTGAGTCTTCTGGCAAAGAAAAGAGGTAAATAACATGGCCATATTTAGAAGAATCTTTGCAACAATGGATCACATTTAGACTATAAAAAATAAAGTCTTACCTGTTGATGGATCTTCAGTGATAGACTCCTCTAGAACACGATCAACTTCAATGTAGTCAGAATTGAAATATTCATCCTCATCTATCGCAGAAAAGTAGTTCCCGGAGCCAAGTAATTTGGTTTTGTACCGTTTGATTTTCTGATGGATGCGTTTGTCTTTTAATTGGTCTACTGTCTGCCACTCACAGTGCAAGTAAGAGCTGAAATAGGTAATAGTTGCACAAATACGTATTAAATATAAACAATATTCGTCCAATGGTATGAGTTATTCTCTATATCCCCCAACTTCATTTGAAGGGATAATTAGAATGTACTACTACATGTCCAGTTTCTATTTAAAGTTAACGATCTTAATCTGCCATATAAATAGTGGAAATCATGGAAATAAAATGTTGGAATCATAGGGACTATTATGTATAAGTAACTCTGATTCTGAATTTGTATCCAACTTAACCTTAAAAATACTTACAAGTTCTTGTATTTTACATAGAATTCCTCAACCTCTTCTTCTTCCTCAATTTCTTCTGTATCAACAACAGCAGTTTCTTCTTTATTCTCCACTTCACTAGCTTCCCTTGGCCCATCTTCTTCAGTAGGATTCTCCTCAGCTGGCTTTTCAGTGGCAGCTTCGTCCAGGGTCTTAGTGGTTTCCTCAGCTGGCTTATTTATTGCATTTTCTATTTTCTCATCTTCCTTTGGAGTTTCTTCGACAGTGGCTTCACCTTCAGGTTTCTCTTTCTAATAATAAAAATTGAAATGCTTTTCATATAAAATTAGAAATAATTCCAAACAAATTCTGTGATCTTTCTTAGAACTCAAGATCATTGAAAGCACCACATTTCTACAAATCTGAGTAGGCTTTCCACGATGGAGCATTTTTACAATCAAATAAATGAGGTTTCAAAACCCTCCTTAGAACTTAGAAGCCATTTCATTTTGGCAATTTTCTTCAGCTCTTCATCTGGTCATATGTGATTGACATGACTCTGTCTGTGGACATGCCTTAGAACCTCCTCTTTCAGAACAGCTTATGCGACAGTATAGTGACTTAAATGGGGCATTAGATAAAATAGCTGAATAGATATAAATTGCTTTCGAAAGGGCGATCTTCAATTTGAGTTTACTGACCTGAATAATTTTCTTGACTTTGATTTTCCTCGTTCTCATGCCAAGAATCTTCTCAACAACAACTGCATCCTCCTCTGCTGGATTATCCTGCAAAAATACCCACAATGCATTAATGATCCTGCAAAAATACCCACAATGCATTAATGATCCTGCAAAAATACCCACAATGCATTAATGATCCTTCAAAAATACCCATAATGCATTCGTGATCCAATTTGCTCAGTCAATCTAAGTCCTTCCTTAGGTTTTAACCAATAGAATGCCTGCAATTGCAGTTGATTAGCAACTCAGACTTTTAATACATGAGATTGCATACTGACAACATATATCAATGCCTAAGAGTCTTTTCATCCTACCTACCTTAAAAAATAACCTTTAGATAAGTCAGAATCAACAATATATACTATTTCAAAAAAGCTGTTACTTTAACAACTGATGGACCTCTCCACAGATATAAACACTTTACGGAGATTGTTGCTGTTGCTCAACCATGTGGAAAGATAAAGGCCTTAGTCTTTGAATTAAATCTAACTAGCCGTGCTGTGACATAAATAGCAGTGGGTAATTTATATAGCGTACATGTCTCAGTCTGCCTCAATCTGCCATGAGTACGCTTAGGGAGCATCTCAAAGTTCAATGTAGGATTACTATATTTGAATAGTTAATCTGTGACCCCCATCAGTCCCCCCGTCATGACCGTGCTTGAGAAATGTTGACATGCGTTATTTCTGAAGTCACACTATATCTAACATAATATAACCAGACCCTTTTCGACAGAACTTTCGTATTTGATACTTGGATTGGCAAAGGTATGTTTCAAGAAGTTCATTTTTAGCATTTTTACTTCGTTGTGTTGACTTTTTTTTTATTATTTTTCGTACCGAAAGTGCACTGGACGAAAAAACATGCACTAATAAAATTCCAGGGAATGATGTCGGGATACTAACTTTTAAAGCTAATGACACCCTCCCTCTTGCTATTCAAATAAAGTTAATTTTCCGATATCGATCTTTTAAAAAAGCTTCCTTACAACACAGTGCTTCAGGAACTATGTCAAAATTTCAATGTTACACATAAAAAAACTAAATTACATTTCGTATTGAATCCTAGTTTTAACTCTAACTGAATGCTTATTGATTTTTTCAAGGTTGCTCTTTTAAAATGAACGAAATAAAATAGGCTTTTGCCCTTTTCCAACTTTTAATTAACTACCTTTATAGGCATAAATGGATGCCTTGACCGTGTAGCAAAGTTAATGTGACTGCATTAAAATTGTTAATGCAATAACTAACAGGAAGCTAACATCTTCTAAATAGGTTAGTACGGCAGCAGTTTAAAGATAAGGCTTAATATATTCATGACAATTGAAAGCACTTAGCCTATTTTATTGATGCTGAGGCTTCTACTTTCATGAGCTGTGATTAGAAGGTTAAATACTTCTCTGCGTTAAGACTAAATCATGCTCACACCGGAATAGCCTGACAACGGTAAAGTCAGATACCGTTGTCACAAATGGCGGACATAACCGTCGCTTCAATTAGATTTTCATGAACTCAAACAGCCGCCATTTTGTTCAATTCAACATTTGAATCATGAATTTTGGTCTTATTTCCAAATGAAAAATTCCAAAACTCACAAGAAATGATCGAGATATTAGTTCGAATCTTTTGAACTGTTTATTTAGAATTTATAGTAGGTTATAATTTCAAAAATAAGGACATTTGGACGTTTTCATTGTTGGAAAATATCGAGTTTCGATCCTGATAGCCAATCCTCCTTGACTGTGTTATGACTATACCATGCTGAGACATAATGAGTGACTCTGTGTTGAGATTTCAACATACTGTTAACTATGTGATATGACTCAACCATGCTGAGACATAATGAGTCACTCTGTGTGTTGAGACTTCAACATACTGTTAACTATGTGATATGACTTAACCATGCTGAGACATAATGAGTCACTCTGTGTGTTGAGACTTCAACATACTGTTAACTATGTGATATGACTTAACCATGCTGAGACATAATGAGTGACTCTGTGTTGAGACTTCAACATACTGTTAACTATGTGATATGACTTAACCATGCTGAGACATAATGAGTCTATCGGTGTGTTGAGACTTCAACATACTGTTAATTATGTGTTATGACTTAACCATGCTGAGACATAATGAGTCTCTATCTGTGTGTTGAGACTTCAACATACTGTTACACATGTGTTATGACTTAACCATGCTGAGACATAATGAGTCACTCTGTGTGTTGAGACTTCAACATACTGTTAACTATGTGATATGACTTAACCATGCTGAGACATAATGAGTCTATCTGTGTGTTGAGACTTCAACATAATGAGACACTCTGTGTGTTGAGACTTCAACATACTGTTAACTATGTGTTATGACTTAACCATATTAAACGGAGTTACTCTATATGTTATGACTATATCATGCTGAGACATAATGAATCACTTTATAATCTGAGACTTTAACATACCGTAAACTATGTGTTGAGTTCATCAAATTAAGCAGACTTATACTATGTGTTATAACTATACCATGCTGTGACATAACAAGTCAATCAATGTGCTATGACTATACCATGCTGAAAAGTAATGGGTTACTCAATGTGTTATGACTTGAACATATTACACTATGTGTTATGACTACACCATGCTGAGACATAAGAGGTTCACTTACACTTACCACGAAGAACTGCTGAGGCTTAACAGCTACAGCGAGTCCATCCGTGTCTCCAGCATCCCCCGCATCACCTTGGTTATCATCAGACAGGTTTAAGTCAATGTCGTCCAAGTATTTCTTGCGTTTTGTGTTCCTAGCCGATCTACGCTTCTGCAATATGAAAAAACATACATAAGAGGCCAAACACATGGGAGGCAAAGGACATTAGAGGCCAGGAGAGGCTTCTGCAATTTGAAGACATATATTAGAGGCTAGACACATGAGGGAAAAAGAAGATTACAGGCTAGGAAAATTAGAGCTGCTGATATTTAAGGCCTGGTCAAGTGCACTAATCTGTTATCTTATACAAAATTAACTTGTCAGTTTTCTCCAGCCCCTTACTGGACTTCATGTTAGAAGAACTGTAGGGAAATTAATAGATGATACTAAATTGCCAGAAAGAAATCAGGAAACCTGGCCATACAAAAGTAGAGTTCAACTACATTACCTGAAAATTTGAATACAAATATACATGTACATGTGTCATATATACAGTGAGCAAATCTTTGCAAATCGCTTTTTGAAGAGAGTACACCTACCCGGGTAGACACAAACACTGGCCTGGGTGTAACTGATGTTGATTTGGGCCATGTGATTCTTTCAATATATATGGGAACGTCTGACTTCCATTGCAACATAAATACGAATTTTATACTCATAGAGGGAGTATGCATGCTTATCTCAACAGTTACCTGTATTCCAGATTCCTCTTCTGGTGGGGAGGGAGGGGGTGTGGTTATTTCAATGTCTGAACCATCGGAGGTCAATCTCTTCCTTTTCTTCTTATTACTCTTGATGAATGTTGGCATTATCATCCTGGAAACAAAGGCAATAGAAGTGTTATGACACACAGTGACAAATATCATGCTCTGAAGAGTAAAATGGCCGCCATGTGATTTACCCAGCATCCCCAAAACCTAATCAGATCTCGGCACTAGTATACTCTTGCACCTGTAAAGTTAAATGGATAAGAGGTTTCCTGAATTTTTTCATGACAAATTTTCCTGAATTTTTTTATGACAAGATTGACGTGGAACCTGCCTGGCGCCTTGATTAATACAAGACGACGCAAAGAACCTTTTCAAAGTATGATAATAATGACTATAGGGTACTCTGAATCAGAGTCTTGCTTATTAAATCAAGCAAAATAATCTATCGGAGAGGGTAACAAGAGAAATTCAAGGATATCAAGTACATGTTATAATCCTTCAAAAAAGTGCACTCAATTCCCGCATCAGATAATTGATCTACTTTAAAATAGAATAAAATGAATGAGCATTGCATGTCAAAAAGTAAATAGGTCAGGTTTCAGGTACCCTAAAAAACATAGTGTTGAATGTCAGGCACATTTTTCAAAATTAACACTATTATCATTAAGTAATACATAATCGCTCCAGCATTCAAGCAAGTACAATGTAGGCATTTTGGCCACTTGGGATCTTAAGAATAGGCTTGCACCAACCTGAGAATCCGTTTGCAACCACTTAAAATTAGGCATATTTTGACCAAATTTGGTCTTAATTAAGAAAATAGGAATTTTGCACCAACTTGAGAAAATCCTGAGGATAAAACTTTACTATCATATAATTAGGCCTGAAAAGACCCCAACAACCCCAACTAAAATGCCATGCAATAAGGCCTGAAGAGTGAAAGATACAGGCTGATAAATTGCCTATGGAACCAATTGTTTGATATAACATATCATTTATGTGTTTTGTGTAGGTTACATTGACTTTTATATAACTGCCAAGGCTAAACACATGACAAACAATATACATGTCTGACTGACAGGAAATAGACGTCATTTAATACAATTGGAAAGGTTGGCACATCATATGGAGAAATATCTGTTATAAACAGCTCTTCTGTATTCTTTTTCCTGATATAGAGAATGAGAGGCAACTCATCAATAAGGTATTAACATGCAAAATGTCACCACCTGTCATTTGTTATAGACACCAACCGCTGAACGCCGAACACTGCCACAAAAAAGTTGGAGACTATATACAAAAATCAATGTCGTAAACCTCATTAGAATTTTCTCAACAGGGAATTTAAAACTAATTCTATCTTTCTGGTCAAAATTTATGAATGATATTTCATCAAGGTTAAGGTTAAAATGCATTTATCAACAGGGTGGCATTTGTACTTGCCAAATTTTCAAAATGGTGCAGCTCTATTTAGTCTTAGAAATCCCTGCGAGTTTTGGTCACATTGTCAGGGCGATTTTATTCTTTCGAAAAAATGAAAACATTTAAAATGTCAACAATTGTCATTTTGCACAACAAAAGATCCTCAAAGTCTAATCAAAAACAATCCAAAAAAGTGAACGCATATTTTTATAGACGAAATCTAATTTATCTACCATTATGCCACCTGGGTGACAAACTTTCAAACCATATATCTTCAATACGAAACAACTGACAAATTAGAAATAATATAGCTATGGTACAAGTAAGTGGACTAGTGGAGAAAGGAAAGGTATCTTGGTATCCAAGGTTACAAATTACAACAATGAATGACATTAAAGAGCAATTAATGCTTGCCTTACTATTCAAATAGATATTTAGAAAATGTGTTTACTTAAATGTTAAACAAGGCTTACATGACAAAATGTCACCACCTAGTTGCTCACAATATTATTAGTTCAATGTTAAGTCAGATTTGAATTTCTGAGAACTCTGTAGATGATTTTGAAAAATACCTTTTTGATCTTGAGAAGGTCATTGAAGGTCAAATCATTTTGACCCTGAAAATGTCATTGAGTATCAAATCTATAGTCAGATTTGAACCTTTCAGAATTTGAAGATGATTTTGAAAAAAAATTGGTCAATTTGAAAAAAGACCTTTTTGATTTTAAAAAAAATTGGTCAATTAACTTTTAACTTAAGTTGAAAAATACCTTTTTGATTTTGACAAGGTCATTGAAGGTCAAATCATTTTGACCTTGAGAATGTCACTGAAGGTCAAATCTACAGTCAGATTTGAACCTTTCAGAAATTGTAGATGATTTTGACAAAAACTGGTCAATCCGAAGCAAGTTGAAAAAATACCTTTTTGACCCTTCTTTGACCTTGAGAAGGTCATTGACTTAAATATTAAGTCAGATTTGAAGTTCTGATAACTTGTAGATGATTTTGAAAAATAATTTAGTCAATTTGAAGCAGGTTGAAAAAAGACCTTGTTAAGTTATTGAAAGTTTGAAGAATTTGTTACAGATTTGTTACAGATGCCAACCACCGCCACAAAAAAACAGAGACCATAACAATATGTCACCACTTCTTGGTGGTGACATATAAAACTAGGTCTTGGGGTGAAAAATGGTGATGAATTTTTGTGTATTATGGGGGGGGGGGTGATGACTATGTCATTGATTATAGTTTTTCAAATTGAGTTTATTTTTGCTTATGCCATGGTCACATTTGTTCAGATCTTCAATATCATCGCCTGGCCATTGAGTATTTTGTTCAAAACTGAATGCAATTTTGAACAAAATACTCATTAATCGGGCACTGGTACTGAAAATCGGAGCAAATGTGACTATGGTATCAGAAAAATTACTACCTAAAACCAATAGCATCATCAATAGAGGCAATACATACTAGCTTCTTTGATGTACCAAAAGGTGGCACGGTTTATATGAAAGGTCTATTGCCCCTACCCTGCGTGCAGAGTCTAGTTAAACTACACTCTGCCTAGTAGAGACCATATTACAGTTTAGTAGCCCCGCCCCAACGACAGGTACCGGTGACAGTTTGGGTAATAAATCACTTTCGACCTACGCGCTGACCTTTCTTCCACCAATCAGGGAGCTTGAAGAAACATACGCCAAATGCGTTCTAATTAGATATGCGCATGTCATTGGTCAATTCCGGGCTCAACGATGACGTCAGAAGGAATGACCATATATAGAACGTCGGTCAAATTTGGCCGACGAACACTGATTGGCGCGGTGAGTTCACAGGTTTATTTTAGTTTGAAAGAGTGAAGATGAAGCTCTCTTTTAAGAAGTGAAGTCAAACGAATGCAAAGGGTAATTGCCCCATTCTCACTATGAAAAATAAAATAGTCAATAGGTTTAAACGTGGCAATTTGCACAATGTCTATCTGTCAAAATAATCCCTGTTTATAATACAAAATAAGCAAGACCTCTATTCCTTATTCTCATATTTTACGTGCAGACCAAGGAAGAAAATCACGATTTGAATCCCAGGGTAGATGTGAACCTGTCCCGACCAATAAACACTGATTACAAAATAATGAGATTATACGGCATTTAACCGCCTCTCTGCATTGAGAAGGTGTTACAGATGACTACTGTAACCTTACATGATCTTTAAACCCTTGTAAAAAATACACCCCTAGCTATCTAGCTTTTTACCAATTTTCTCTTAAAAAATCAGAGCAAATCTCCAAGCATTAACATATACAGAGTCTGGAATACCAAATCATGATAACTGCCCGATATGCATTTAATTTCTTGAAACCTATTGGACAACAAATTCACAGCCACTTATGTAATTAATTCATTGGGAGCGAAGTCAGAAAATCAATGCAGAAACAAAAATGTTGTGTATTCACAGGAAGTCACTGTGTCTTTATAATTATAAACGTAGACAATTATTGATGTGTTTAAAACACATGCGGTCAGAATCTTATGTTTAGCATATTAAACCTGATGCTACGAAACCCAGCATTTACGTATGGGTTATGTACCGGAAGGTTCTGGATATGGGTTTTATCCAGAGGGAGAAATGCATATCTACCTGAAGAAACATCCCTGAAATCCTGAGGCTAGAAATTATTATAACTTATACTCTACTACTCTCTGTCTCCTAAAGGGCAATCAAAATTTTTGATGCTGATAATATCTTTAAAGTAGTTGTAATAGCTTTTAATATGAATCAAATACATGTGCTCATGAAGGTTACAAATTCTGTGACAACAATATTCTGCTAGGATACCTCAGTTTTGAATTATCTAATCAGATTGGGCAAGACTTGATTAAAGTGTGCGCCTGACCCGGCTACGTATAGCACAGAGTTTATACTGGCGGATTAGACTAGTTCATTTTTTATATGTGTGTGAAAGCTTTCTCTTATTTGCGTTTTTTCGTTTAGTACGGTTTTGTTATAATTGCCGAGGTCATATAACCGGGATAAAACAATGATTATCGTTGACTGCCCACACACAAAACATACGTTGAGTGAACAGTGTTATTACAAACAACAGGCTTTAGAATACAAAGCGTAGTGTGATAATAAGCTGCACACTACCACTGCTGCATGTACATATTACTAATTTACTAGGGCTCCCAAAGAGTGGATAGGGAAGTTGTGTTTGTCACTTTTAAATTTTTCATTTCAAAATTGTCATTTTACATGTCATAATTTGTTGGTTTCATTCGTTTAGCCAATCAAAACATTGTAAAACAATAAATTGTCTGTTACGTACAATCAATTTTGTTCAGTTTTGATTAGTTGTCAGAATAAAGTTACGTTCATCTGAATCCATGTATCAAAACAAAAATCCTATTTTCACTTCAAAATACTTCAGTGAGATGAAGGCTCGGAATTGTCACATGCAATAACTTATTGTCGTATTCGTTATTTTATCTTCTCGATAGTAGCATTTAGTCGCACATTTGATGCCAGGTCACCTTGTCGCGTACCTCTTGGGGAACCCCACATTTATGTGTGTACTCATGGAAGTAAATTCCCCGGTGTAGCCGAGAGCCACAAACTTTTCAACAGGTTCGAAATGACCAATTTCTCTCATATATACTCTAAATATTTTATTATTTAGCACCTACAAAG